CAACCTATGTGCCACTTTTTTTCTTTTTTTCCTTGTGCTGGGGATCAAACCCAGGACCAGAGACCAGCTAAGCAAACACCCTGCCATGGAGCTACAACCCCAGCCCTGCCTGCCTTTTGCATACCACAGTGTATTGTGTGCATCTTTCTATATCAGTATGATTGTCACTATCTTTTCTTAAAATTTTGCTTGTTATTGTCTTGTATAGAATGTGTATTCTGTGAATAGAATGAAGTTTATTTAGCCAATGCTGACAAAAGACCTTGTTTTTTTTTTAATTGCACAATTTTTTTTCTTTATTTTTCTCAAACCAATGCCTGATACAAAGGCTGTCTGCTGAAGAATGGAAACCCGTTTCTTCTTCGTGCCTCCAACTAAGCATTAAACTTATCTGACAAGGCGAATAAGGTCTCTTTGATAATTAATGGTATACACATGAAAAATCCTTTATGATGCATAAGGGTACACAGGGTACAAAAATACTTGGTTGATTTTAAGGTTTGGAAAGAACAAGGAGCAGTGGTGGGGGCAGGGCGCCCTGTGGAGAGGTCAGCAAGATGGGCAGAGGAGAGGGCTTTCTTATAATTATGGGTCCATCTGAGAAGGAAGCAGAGGACCGATTGGACAAGACAAGGCAAATGTCCTGTGGTAGTTGCTGAGCCTGGAAGGGTGTGAGGTGCACGGGTCCTCGGGGGAGAAGTGGCCACAGGGCTCAGGCCTCTCTGAAGCCTGGTGGGTGTAGGGGCCTGGTGTGGAGAGAGGGACCTGGCACCATAAGCTCGACCTGTTGCTATGGAGACCGTGAGAACAAACTGTAGACTCACATATACACAAGTTTAAGTGTCTTAATTCATGCCAGAAAACATGCAAAATTAAATGCCTCATTTTCTTGGGGGGGTGGTGGTTAGAAGCATGTTGGAGTGGGAGGTCAGGTCAGGTCTTGCTGGATGTCCCAGCAAGAAGGCCCTCAAATCCTCCAGGGAGGCCTTAGAGAAGGGTTTGGGGTGGAGCAAGCCTGAGGAAGAGGGAAAGGCACGGGAAGCAGTTCACTGAGTCAGGCTTAAGATTCAGTCTCCAGAAAAGCAGCGCAGGCTGCACGCAGGGGGCGGGGGAAGCTCAGGGCCCTATTCTGGCCCCACCACCTAGTACCACCTAGTTCCAGAACCAACTTCCTGACGACCACAACTGAAGAATCAACAGAACTGGCATACTTCCATCCTTGCTGGGTGCCATCAGAGGAGGGATACCAGCGCACCTCCTCCTCCAGGGCTGTGCCAGAACCGGTGCCAGTGCTGTGCTTCAGGTTGTTCATGGTGAAGGGGAAGGGCCCCGCCCACCTCGGCCAGGATGTTTTTTTTTTTTTTTTTGTAGTGGTGCTGGGGATTGAACCCATGGCCCTGTGCCCAAGTGAGGCGAGCCCTCTACCAACTGAGCCATATCCCCAGCCCCTAGACATTGCTTATGTTTCTTTTTGGTAATGGGAATTGAACTCAAGGGGTGATCTACCACTGAGCTACATTCTTTCTCATTTTTGAGACTCACTAAATTCGTGAGGCTTGTCTCAAATTTGCAATTTTCCTTCCTTGGCCTTCAGAGTTGTGGGGATTACAGAAGTGTGCCATCTTGCCTAAAATACTGAAAATAAGTTTTCCCAGGATTTATTTGTATTTGTGCGTTTTCTATTTATTTATTTATCTATCTATCTATTTATTTATTTATCTGTCTATCTATTTATTTATTTATTTATTGGTACTGGGGATTGAACTCAGGGGCACTCTACCACTGAGCCACATCCCCAGCCCTGTTTTGTATTCTATTCAGAGACAGGGTCTCACTGAGTTGCTTAGTGCCTTGATTTTGCAGAGGCTGGCTTTGAACTCTCATCCTCCTCCTGCCTCAGCCTCTGGAATTTCAAGAATGCACCACAGACTGTGCCTGGCAATTTGTATGTTTTAAATACTATCCGCCTTCTGGGTTTCACTTCACAAGTAAATAAGTCTTCTGTTGAATACATTCAACTATAGAGAAGCAAAGATGAAAAAACGTAAACAAACTGTAGTAGATGTGAATTTGGAGCCATCGGACAAGCTTATTTTAAAATCCAAAATTGTTGGGTGGGATAGTGCATGCCTGTGATCCTAGCGGCTCGGAAGTCTGAGGCAGGAGGATCATGGGTTCAAAGCCAGCCTCAGCAATTTAGTGAAGCCATAAGCAACTCAGTGAGACCCTGTCTATAAATAAAATATAAAAAAGGGCTGGGGATGTGACTTAGTGGTGAAGTGCCCCTCGGCTCAATCTCCAGTACAAAAAAAAAAAAAAAAAAACCCAAACTGATATAGAGGGTTGAACTCAGGGCACTTTACCACCAAACTACATCCCCAGCTCTTAATATTTATTTATTTTATTTTTAAATTTTTTTTTGTTTTAATTAGTTACACATGACAGTACAATGACCTTGGCATAGCATACATTTGAATCAGATGGGATATAATTTCTCATTTTTCTGAGTGTACAGGTTGCAGAATCACATTGGTCATGCAGTCACACATATACATACAGTAGTAATAATGTCTGTTTCATTCTACTATCCTTATCTCCCCAGCCCCTCCCCTCCCCTCCCATCACTTCTCTCTACCCAATCTAAGGTGACACAATTGTTTTTTTTTTCTCACATCATCATACATGTATTTTGTGTAATGATGAGGGTTCCCTTCCATCTTCCATGCAATTCCATTTCTCCCTCTCTTTCCCTCTCACTTCTCTTCCTTATCTAGAGGTTATCTTCTGCTCATGCTCTTCCTCCCTACCCCGTTCTGAGTCACCCCCCTTACATTAGAGAAGACATTCAGCATTTGTTTTTTGGGGATTGGCTAACTTCACTTAGCATAATCTTCTCTAATGCCATCCATTCCCCTGCAAATGCCATGATCTTGTTATTTTTTAGTGCTGAGTAATATTCCATTGTGTATTAATGCCACATTATTTTTATCCATTCTTCCATTGAAGGGCATCTAGGTTGGTTCCACAGTCTAGCTATTGTGAATTGTGCTGCTATGAACATTGATGTGGCTGTGTCCCTGTAGTATACTGTTTTAAGGTCTTTGGGGTATATTCCAAAAAGAGGAATAGCTGGGTCAAATGGTGGTTCCATTCCCAGCTTTCCAAGCAATCTCCATACTGCTTTCCAAATTGGCTGCACCAATTTGCAGTCCCACCAGCAATATATGAGTGTACCTTTTTCCCCACATCATCCTCGCCAGCACTTGTTATTGTTTGACTTCATAATGGCTGCCATTCTGACTGGAGTGAGATGAAATCTTAGAGTAGTTTTAATTTGCATTTCTCTGATTGCTAGAGATGATGAGCATTTTTTCATGTATTTGTTGATTGATTCTATATCCTCTTCTGAGAAGTGTCTGTTCAAGTCCTTGGCCCATTTGTTGATTGGGTTATTTGTTTTTTTGGTGTTTAACTTTTTGAGTTCTTTATATACCCTAGAGATTAGAGCTCTATCTGTGTGAGGGGTAAAAATTTGTTCCCAGGATGTAGGCTCCCTATTCACCTCACATTATTTCTCTTGCTGAGAAAAAACTTTTTAGTTTGAATTCGTCCCATTTGTTGATTCTTGATTTTAATTCCTGTGCTATAGGTGTCTTATTAAGGAACTTGGGGCCTAACCCCACGTGATGGAAATTAGGGCCAACTTTTTCTTCTATTAGGCGCAGAGTCTCTGGTTTGATTCCTAGATCCTTGATCCATTTTGAGTTAACTTTTGTGCATGGCGAGAGAAAGGGATTCAATTTCATTTTGTTGCATATGGATTTCCAGTTCTCCCAGCACCATTTGTTGAAGATGCTAACTTTTCTCCACTGCATGCTTTTAGCACCTTTGTCTAATATAAGGTAGTTGTAATTTTGTGGGTTGGTCTCTGTGTCCTCTACCATTGGTCTACCAGCCTGTTTTGGTGCCAGTACCATGCTGTTTTTGTTACTATTGCTCTGTAGTATAGTTTAAGATCTGGTATAGTGATACCACCTGTTTCACTCTTCCTGCTTAGAATTGCTTTAGCTATTCTGGGTCTCTTATTTTTCCAGATGAATTTCATAATTGCTTTTTCTATTTCTGTGAGGAATGCCATTGGGATTTTGATTGGAATCGCATTGAATCTGTAAAGTGCTTTTGGTAATATGGCCATTTTTATTTATTCATTTATTTATTTATTTATTTTAGTTGAGACAGGGTCTTGCTAAGTTGTTGAGGTTCTCCCTGAATTGCTAAGGATGGCCTTGTATTTGTTTTCCTCCTCCCACAGCCTCCCAAGTAGCTGGGATTTCAGGCATGTACTACTATAGCCCTCTGTATTTTTGGAAGGCAAAAGTGAGATCCTTATTTACCTGATTTCCAGAGTGTGGGCTACTATGGGTATATAGTTCTATGATAGAGTACCAGCTTACAAAGTGTGAAGCAGGAGGCCTTAGGTTCAATTCCCAGAATCCTCCCCCCTGCAAAAAACCCCCACAAGTTTGGGGTATAAAGTTCTCCAGGTTACAGAGCGAGGTACCCCAGCCTGCATTCTAGCTCAAGTGTGGTCCGTCTGGGGCCTGTGTCCTTTCCACAGCTCCAGCTGGGGTGACTGGTAGTACAGGTGCCACGGAGATTGGTGCCAAGTGGGCATAAAAATAGGAATGGAGATGAAGAACTAGGGATTTGTGAGGACCATCTGTGTTCTGCCAGAACATGGTAGTGGGTGAAACCACCCAAGGAAACAAACAAGTTGCTGTTGTTCTTTTTTGCTTAAGTGAAATTTCTTCTCCTGTACAGCAACTCTGAGCTGACAAAGGCTGGAAGGGCAGCTGTGATTGGCTGCAGGCTGCTGGAAGAGACTTCCTGTGGCATCTGGAGTTCAAGGGCCTGCTGGGACTTCAGGGGCTGTGAGAACCAGGGGGCTCAAGTGAGACCATCTGGCTGGAGTACACCCACAAAGCCAATCCTAAAGAAAGCCCACCTCAGTGCAGACTTTGAGCCAGTCCAATGGAGAGGTCAGCAGTCCTCACGAGACTTCAGGAAGAAGTCAAGTGCCCCATCTGCCTGGATAACCTGAAGGACCCGATCACCATCGACTGTGGGCACAACTTCTGTCACTCCTGCATCCAGCAGTCCCAGGCAGATCTGCAAGACGGTTACCGTTGTCCTGTCTGTCGCCATCAGTGTGATGAAGGGCACTATAAGATCAACACCCAGCTGGGAAGGATGATTGAAACTGCCAAGCTCCTCCACCTCAGCAGGAGGAAGAGGAAGAGGCAGAGCAAGATGAGCCTGTGTGAGAAACACGAAGAGGTCCTGAGCCTTTTTTGTGAGGAGGACCTGGAGCTGTTGTGTTCCCTCTGCGCTGGGCCCCCAGACCACCAGGGCCACTACCTGAGGCCCATCAAGGAGGCTGCCTCTTATCACAGGGGAATGCTTGAAAATTACATTGAGCCCCTGAAGAGGCAAGTGGCAGATGTTCAACAATTAATAAGCATTCAAGGCAATAAATGCCTTGAGCTGAGGGAGCAGATGGAACATCAGAAACAGAGATTATCCTTTGAATTTGAACAACTGAACCAATTTTTAGAGCAAGGAAAACAGGCAGCTCTAGCAAGGTTAGTTGAAGAAGAGAAGGACACTGAACGGAAACTCAGTGAAAACATCACAGCATTTTCAAACTATGCTTCCACACTCAAAGGTTTACTAAGCAGGGTCACAGAGCACAATGTGTTGTCTGAGGTGGAACTGCTGTCACAGATGAAGCATTTCTACCAGAAGTCCGACAATGAGGTCAGCCCACCAATCTTTTCAATTCATTTAAGGAGGGAAGCTTACAATTTTCCTCCCCAGTATTCTGCTCTGCAGAAAATAATTAGAGAGTTCAAAGCAGATATATTTCTAGACTCTGCAACAGCCCACCGTAACCTGATTGTCTCTGGGGATAAAAAATGTGTCCGACACACAAAGAGAAAACAAAACGTCCCTGATCTTCCATCTAGGTTTACAGTCAACCCGGTTGTCCTGGGTTTTCCAGCTTTCTATTCTGGGAGGTATTTCTGGGAGGCGGAAGTGGGAGACAGATCTGAGTGGGCTATTGGCGTCTGCAAAGCCTCTCTGTCCACCAAGGCAAGGCGACCATCAGTCCAGCAGGGATGCTGGAAGCTTCAGCAACTGAAAGATGGCTATGAAGCTCCAGGAGCTGTTCCAGACCCTCTGCTGTTAGATGTGAGAGCCAGATGCATTGGCATTTTCCTGGACTATGAGCTGGGTGAGATCTCCTTCTACAATATGCCTGAGAAATCTCTCATCTGTACTTTCACAGACACTTTTACTGAACCTCTGCGTCCTTATTTCTTTATAGGACCTGGTTCAAAACCTCTCAGAATCTGTTAAGGGAAAAAATTGTGAATGAAAAAGCCCCCCCCCCCCAATAGGCTGAGCCATTTTAACAAAATTCTGGGGTTTTTTTATTTGCTAGAGATTGAATTTTTTTGTACCCTGTTGATAATGTACACTTTTTTTTGCTTTTATGTATCAGTTAAATTTAATGCTAAGGAAAAGAAACCTCTAGTTCTTGCTGGTATGTAAGAAGGTTGTTGGTCATTATGCTGTAGTTCAGTACCAGGGATTGAACCAGGGATGCTTAATCACTAAGCTACATAATTATATGTAATAGTAGAAATCATTGTGACCAACTCAGAACCGAAGGTGGAATGTTCTCTCTGATATGCAGATGCTGAATCACAATGGGGTGGGAGATGTTCACCTGTTTGGACAAGGGGGAGTGGGGGCAAGGGAGGGGGGGTGGGAATGGGAAACACAGGAGAATGAATCAGACAACCCTTTCCTATGTTCATATGAATACGGACGGGGCCAGTGTAACTCCACATCATGTACAACCACAAAAATGGGAAGTTATACTCCATGTATGTATAAAATGTTAAAATAAAGAGGAATTGTAACATTCATATACATCCTTTCATACATAACATAATCGGTCAACTTCATTCCTTGACACCCTTTTCCTTTCCACCTCCCTCCTCTGCTTCCTTTACTCCACTGGTTTCCCTTCTACTTTTATGAGATCCCCAATCCCCTTTCCCATGATTCTTTACTTTGGAGTCAGGCTTATTTCACTTCACATGATGCTCTCAAGTTCCACTGGCTCTTGAGGGCCTTGAGGGCTGCATCTATTCTCTAGGTTCCCACAATGCCCTGCTGCCTGGTCCAGCCTCAGATCCTGCGGGTCTCCAATCCCCTGGTAGTCCTTGGCTGTGTCAGCTGCCTTCTCACAGGATTCTCCCTTTTCTTGTCTATGGCTGGGTCCTTTGGGCGACCAGCAGGACACAGCAACAGGTGCTACTGATCTTAATCCTATGCTTTTTGCTAACCCAGATGACCCCTGGCTTCCTCTGTAGTCACCGTCCTCTTGTGCACTTCTTTCCTTCTTTACCAAATGATAAGAGTGTGGGGCATTTTGGGGGACAAAGTCTATTTTCATAACAGCTCATTTTTCTGCAAGGTCTGCATTTTTCTTCTTGGAAGTCTTTCTTCATTCTTCATCTGTACTTCCCAACTCCTTTGTGACAAGATGCTAATGCAATTATGATTCCTTTTACAGATTGCCATTCCCAATAACGTGAAGCTAAAACTTTGGTTTTAGAAGTCTCAGTCCAGACACGGTCAGCTTCATTGCTCTGGTCTCAAGGTGAGGCAGAACATCATAGCAGAAGAGTGTGGTGAAGGAAAGCAGCTCAGAACATGGCCATAGGGAAGGAGAGCTTCAGTTAACTTTTTTTGTGTGTGTGGCGGGATTGAACCCAGGGATGCTTAAACACTGAGCCACATTCCCCCTTTCATATTTTATTTAGACAGGATCTCACTCAGTTACTTAGTACCTCCCTAAGTTTCTGAGGCTGGCTTTGAATTCACTATCCTCCTGCCTTAGCCTCTTGAGCCTCTGGGATTACAGTTGTGTGGCACCAGGCCTGGCTGCTTCAGTTAATTCTTTAGAAATTTTCCAGATATATTGCCATCCATGCGTATGATATTTATCTTGCACCTTCATTGATAAGTTGATAGGCACTTTAAGATAACAGTAAATAACAGTGATCATAAAAATTTGTCATCCCTTTTCTAGGAAAAGTCATTTCTACCTTTTTTCAGTGCCGGGGATTAAACCTGGGGTCTTGTGCTTGCTAGACAAGCACTATTCCACTGAGTTCAGTGTTGTTTTGTGAGACAGGGTTTTGCTAAATTGCTCCAGATGGGCTTGAACTTGTAATCTTCCTGCCTCAGCTTCTCAAGTAGCTGGAACAGGTATGTGCTACCTTATCTGGCTTTACGTTACCTTTTTTTTTTTTCTTTTTTGGTGGGGAAGGGGGATACTAGGAATTAAACTCAGGGACACTCTGAGGACCACTGAGCCACATCCCCAGCCCTATTTTGTATTTTACTTAAAGACAGGGTCTCATCGAGTTGCTTAGTGCCCTGCTTTTGCTGAGGCTGGCTTGGAACTCGAAATCCTAATGCCTAGGCTTCCTGAGCACCGCATCCAGCCCTCTCTTGGTATTTTATTCATTTATTTTTGTGGTATTGGAAATTGAACACAGGGGTGCTCTACTCCTGAGCTACGTCCCAGCAACACCCCCATCCCCACTTTTTTCTTCATTTTGAGACAGGATCTAGATAAGGTTTTCAGGACCCTGTTGTCTCACTCAGGCTACCGAGGACGCTGGGAGGATGCTGGGATTACAGGCGGGCACCACTGTGCTGGCTATTTAGTGTCATAAATTTGCACTTCTAAAAATGACCTTAAAAGTGATCCCTCAATTTAGGACTTCATAAACAGAAAGTCCTCGGGTGGATTATCTTATAGATATGCTTTAAGTTTGTGTGAGAAGTCATTTTCTACTGTAAAACAAACAAACACAAAACCCCACTGAGGTTAGTAACATTAAGCAGATAATTGAGTGCTTATTTTGTGCCAGACACTGTTGTAGGTTTGAGGGAGACAGTCATGAGCCCCAAATGGAGCTTACCCTGTAGTCAGGGGACAAAGTACCTTACACGGTATGGTAGGTGGTAAGTAAATAGAAAACAGGCAAGGGAGAGGGAAGGGGTCCATGTGGGCATGGACGTAGTGATCAGAGATGAGCTCCTTAACAAGGTGGTATTGGAACACAGATTTGAAAGAGATAAAAGATACATGGCAGTTGGCCATTTCAGGTCCAGGCAACAAGTGCAAAAGTCCTGATCTGTGAATGTGCATGGCAATCCACAAAGTAACAAAAGCTGAGAAAGCAGAGGGTGAAGCAGAAAAGGGAGTGGGGGTATGAGGTAGAGCAGACTTCCCAGGGCCCTGTCACTGTTGGGGCTTTGGTTTTTACTGAGAAAGACTCTTAGCATGACAATGTATGGTTAGAAGAATCTAGGGCTGGGTATGGAGGCACCTGCTTGTTATCCTAGCAACTTGGAAGGTTGAGGCAGGAGGCTATTTTCAGCAATTTAGCGAGAGGCTCTTAGCAATTTCATGAGACCCTACCTCAAAGTTAAAAAAAAAAAAACAGATGTAGCTCAGCAGTTACCCCCACACCAAAAGATTTGGCTGCTGTGTTAAAACAAATATTTGTAGGTTGGTGTTTGGCCAGGAAAGTGATTAGAATCAGATAAAAACATTAAAAAACTCCATCCAGCCAGGCGTGGTGGTGCAAACATACAACCTCAGCAATTGCAGAGGCCGTGGCAGGAGGGTTAAAGATTTGAAGCCGGCCTCACCAACTTAGCAAGACCTTGCCTTGAAATAAAAAATAAAAAGGGATGTGGATGTATCCTTAATGGTAAAGTGCCCTTGGGTTCACTGGGGGGAAAAAAAATTCCATATCTGGAGCCTAATGTGTAGCTCAGTGGTACAGTGCTTAGTGCTGGCTGGGCAAGGACCTGGGTTTGATCCCCAGGATCACACACACTATTTCAAGAACTTACAAGATCAGAGTTTTGTCTTAATGATTTATAAAAGCATCTCTGACCAGACTGTGAGATCATGAAAATATCTCCACTAGATAGCCCTGTTAAAAGGATAGCCCTTTTGGGCTGGGGCTGAGCGATAGCATGCTTGCTTCGATTCTCAGCACCACATACAAATAAATAAAAATAAAAGTCCATCAACAACTGAAAAAAAAAAAAAAACTTTCCTGTAACTCCTGGGGAAGGAGGACAGGCAATTCATTTCCTTTGCCAGTTGATCTTCTGAATTACTCCAAGGCATAGTTCTCAACATGAGTGCTCCAAGTAGTTTGAACCTACCAAAACCAAAAGTTGGTTGTCTATTGTCTTCACTTCCATTCTTCCTCCATCATCCACTCTCCACCAATAAAGTGCAGATTCAAGACAGGAATGTTTTCTGTCTCAATGACCCTGGTTTTACCAGCACCTAGAACACTCCGCACTGTTGGCTCTCAGCTAAATGTTAACACTGAACATGGAACAGACATTAAGTTACTAAGGGTTAATGGAGATATTTTCCAGGCTGAGACAACTAGGGGCATTCTACGGGAATCCTCATCACTAGGATGCTGTCAAACATTCTACAATGTACAGGACAGGCTCCCCAAACAAAGAAAGATCCAACCCAAATGCCAGTAGATGCTACAGTTGAGACAGCTTGCCTTAGGGGAAACTGGGGGAAAAAGACAAAAGCATTGATTCAGACAAGACTTTTTATTTATTGGGGGAGGGTACTGGGGATTGAATTTAGGGATGCTTTACCACTATCCATCCCCAGCACACACCCCCCTTTAAAAAAAAAAAAGGTAGCTTATCTTACATAAAAGTACAAATCCTGGAGCTCAGCTCTGGGTAGGTTGGATCCCATCCGTGAAAGGTGTTTGGAACTATCTGTCCACTGGTCTGGATTTGGGTAACAGACTTCTGTCAGGAGCCATGACTGGGTCAGAAGGTACCAAGAAGATCAATGCCAGCCACACCCCCTCAGTCAAGGCATTCTGGGAAGAGAGACCTATCTGGGCTGGTGGGATCATGTTTTCTAGGTAAGGTGTGAATTTTCACGAGTTGTTCTATGCCATAGGGAATGGAGGCCCAAGGAGGACCTGAATCCCCAAGATATATCTGTTGTAAGGCTGAGGCTCCCTTCATAAATGCACCACAGGGGCATCAGAAGGCAGATCATGGTACTGGTCATCTACATTTCCAGAACTTGGTGGACCAGCATTTGCAGCAGTTATGGGTAAGGGGATCTCCTCCTCCTCCACGATCCAAGCCTCCTGAGTTCACCTCCCCAGGCTTTAAAAAAAAATATATATCTATATATATATCTATATATATATATATATGTGTGTGTGTGTGTGTGTGTGTGTGTGTGTGTATATATACACACACACATATACATACAGTTTTAAGACAGTCTCACCAAGCTGCAGATTGGCCTTGAGCTTGTAAAACCGCCCCCCCCCATTCAGCTTCCCCATTGATGGGATTATAGGTGAGTGCCCAGCTCAGTAAAGATTTTGGTTTAAGTGTTTGAAAGAAGAAAAAGAGTCTGTGGTGGCCCCCCACATGACATCACATCCCATGTGGCTTTAGGAAGTCTTTTGTGTGAACTTTATCACCAGTGCTGGGGGAAGAATAAATTAGGCTTCAGTATCTGAAGAGCAAAAAGCAATAGAATTCCAACAACTTAGAACACATTTTCAACAAACATATACCCACCTATAGTTCTAGCACTCAGAAGGCTGAGGCAGGAGGATCTCAAGTTCAAGGCCAGCCAGGGCAACTTAACAAGGGCCTGTCTCAGAACAAAATAAGGAAGGACTGGGGATGTACCTCAGTGGTTTTACAGTGCTTACCTAGCATACATAAGGCCCAGGGTTCAATCTTTAGGGCTGCCAAAACAATAATTATAACATTATAATATATTATCGCCCAGGATAATAATATGACAATAATTATTATACAATAATCATATATAATTATATATAAATAATGATTACATAATAATCATTATTCTGGGAGAATATTAAGCAGAAGACTTTAATACACATCATAGAAGATTTATAAAAGGCCAAAGAATCTGGCAAAAATCATCAGTTTCATTAGTGTTTGAAGAAATGCAATTTGAAACAATATTCCATCCAATGGGCAGGGATTACAGAATGACAACAGCCACAATTGATTAGGGTAGGAAAAAAACAGCAGTCCAAATAGGTATAAATACTTGGTAGAATTTTGAATCATTGCTTTTCTTTATATTTTTCAATGTCTCCATTAAAAAATAACAAGCTTTTAACTTTATAATATGTCATGATGCTATTGTCATTTGGATCACACATGTACATCTTTATATTTACATATACACATATATAATCACAATTAAATGTTCTTATACCTGCCCTTGTTCAGGGCTATATCTTTTTGCTACCATCTTTCCTCCATTTCAAACTACAATCAGATCCCCCTAAAAGTGACATTGTTTCCTTGATTGAAATCTTTCAGTGGATCCTATTATCAATATAATAAGTGCAAGCTCCTCAGCATATGGTCAAGGCCTCCAAGATCTGAAGACACTCGGTTTCAAGTTCTATACAACGCCTTCTATACAATGTGCTTGTGGTATTTTGTAGCTATCTGCTTTGCTTCTTTACTATTAGTTTGCCAGGAATTCCTAAAACCTACCACCCAAGTGTATCCTCTGACTCGGTGTTCCTATAGTTATCTTTTCTTCAGTACCAGACACTGAATTTAGGAGTGTTCTACCACTGAGCTTCATTCCCCAGCCTGTTTTGAGACAAGGTATCAAGAAGTCGCTGAAACTGGCCTCCAACTTGTGATTCTCCTGCCTCAGCCTGCCCGGTAGCTGGGATTACAGGCCTGTGCCACTGTACCCAGCTGTGCACCTATATCCAGGGCTTCTGCAATTATTGCATTTAGAAGAGCCTAGAAATCATTACCTTCTTTAGAATGTAAACTGCAAGCCAGGTTTTAATTTTTTGTATCCACAATGCTAGCACAAAACTAGTCCGATGAATAGAATCCCTAACATTTATATTGTTTTGTCCATTTTCCCATTCTGCTATTACTAAGACTTACTTTCATTTACTGTTTGAAATGTTCCTTACTGAGTTTAGAAAAGTGTTAGTGATTATACAGATATCATATCAGACCCAAACATCCCAACTTTATCATACCTTTCCCTGTAAACCCATGTTCATCAAGTATATCTCAGAAACTGATATATCCAAACTGCATTTTAAAATAAATATTATATCTTTAAAATTACTGATGGGAGCTAGGCATAGTGACATGCACCTGTAATCCCAGCAATTTAGGAGATCGAGATAGAAGGTAACAAGCTCAAGCCTTGCCTGGGTGACAATGAGACCCTGCCCCAAAATAATAAATAAAAAAGGCTGGGAATGTGTTCAGTGGGGTACACCATTGCCCCCCTCCCTCCATACTAAGGATGGAACCTGGGGTGCTTTACCACTGAGCTACATACCCAGTCCTTTTTATTTATTTTGAGAAAGGGTCTCACTAAGTTGTCTGGCCTTTAGCTTGTGATCCTCCTGCCTCAGGTGTCTGAATCTCTGGGATTATGGGTGTGTGTCACCAAGCCTGGCTCAAAACCACTGGTGTTTTAAGGAAAACAACTGGATGCAACGGTTATAGGCTCTTCCAAAATGTAGAAACAATTTTCCAGAGAAAGCAATAGCTTTGAGACACCTATTAAAAAGAAAGGAAAGGAAGAGGGAGGACACTTAAAATTTAAATTTTTTTTTTTTTTTGGGGTATTGGACCCAGGGGTGCTTAACCATTGAGCTACATCCCCAGCCCTTTTTATATTTTATTTAGAAACAGGGTCTCATTGAGTTGCTCAGGACTCTAAGTTGCTGAGGCTAGCTTTGAATTCACAATCCTTCTGCTTCAGCGTCCTGAGCTGCTAGGATTACAGGCGTGGGCCATCACACCGGGCTGGGAATTTAGAATCTAAATTTTAAAATACAATTTGGCTTCAGTTTGTGAATGTCACTATTTTGAGGATTCAACTGTATTTACCTGCAGGTGACACATAATCATATTTATCTTAGTAGAAAAATTTTAGATGCCCCAGCAATGGCTGTATCTAAAGGAAACAGGTATCTGCTCTCCATATGTAACAGATCCAATGAATACATTCCTCGTCTATCTGGTCATCCAAAACATTCCTATAAAGCTATGGATAGCTGTCAAGTCACAGTATTCATCTACTGACTACACATAATCACTGCATAATCACAAATATCTCCTCCCCCCATACTGAGCCTTCAACAACAACAAAAAAAATCGAAGGCAGCATGTAGAGGTACTGAGAGCAAATTGATAAATTAAAGGGGTGCGCTAGGAAGAATGGAGAAATAATTCCATTTACTCACAAAAATACTTTTTATATCAAGAACTAGGTATTCCCATCACAATTTTTACATATAATCCAAGTCTAAATAAAGTGCTTTTTTTCTATTTATACAGATTTAAAATCAAAGAAGGTTCCATTTCTATACTGAAATTAATGACCCAATGAAAGGATAATTAGTACAGAAATACATGGCAACTTCTTGAAGAAGAGCAAAAATAAAGTGAAAGACATAAATCCTTTAAATTTTTCAGCTTTTGCCAATGGAAGGTACTACCAAGGTAACAGGTATTGCTGGTTGGGCTCACACTGATCCAGGTAATTTTCCTATCTTGTTTCAGAAGAACAGAACAATTGTATTGTTGATCACCCAGTGAGGCCTTGGTCCTACAGTGAAGAAATTCTCTATAAAAGCTGCATGGGGGCTGGGGGTGCAGCTCAGTGGTAGAGAGCTTGCCTGGGGGGATGAAAAAAGAGTATGTGAAAAAAAGAGTATTGTTATTCAATATCACATGAGCATATAAAATACACAATAAGGGTCTGCAGAGAAAAAACATTAACCATAAGAAATAATGACTCCTTTCATCAGCTTAAGAGTTGGAAGAACTTGTGGGGTGTGGTGGTGCACACCTGTAATACCAGTGCCTTAGGAGGCTAAGGCAGGAGGATTACAAGTTTAAGGCCAGCCTCAGCAACTTCATAACACCCTGTCTCAAAATTTAAAATAAAATAAGACTGGGGACATAGCCTATTGGTAAAGTACCCGAGTTTAATCCCCAGTACTTTCCCACTCCACAAAAGAAAGAACTTATTTAAAACCCCTGTTTAAATTAAATTATGTCAGTTTTACTTTACAAATAGCCATATTATCACAGGGCTTTTGGGGGGGGGAGCAGTGGGGGTGTTGCTGTAGATTGAACCAGGGGCTTGTGCATGCTAGACACATGCCCTACTGCTGAGCTACATCCCCAGCTATTAGAGGGATCTAATATCACGTAGAAAAACTGTTGGCCATGGGATAATTGAACTGTACCTTCGATCCTAGGAAAAACCAAGAAGTTCAATTATTTAAAAATGTACAAAACAGACATTCTTCTCAAGTTAGCAAAGCACTTCTACCTTTTGAAAGTACCTTTCAAATGATCCATAAGCCCCATCTACTAAACAGCCACACAGGTGAGAACCAAGTTCAAGTTTCCAACACGCTACACAATGTTTTTCAGCAAGGGCTGTGGTTCCCTAGGGCAGCAGGACAGGCCGTCCTTCAGTCTGAGGTTGCTCTGAACTCTTCAGCCATGATCACGCCTGTGAGCCTCTCATGTCCTACTTGGCTGAGAGGCTAGGTCTGAGCAAGTGAGTGCCAACAGCCGCTTACTCAACAGGGCATTGTGTCGCTTCAAGTACACTATTATGTCTCCTTGCTTTTCAACAATTTCTTCTAGGCTTGAAATAGTCCTGCAAAAAAAAAAAATAATAATAATAAAAATCAAGATATAAAGGAGTTACGTGTATTTATCAATATCATCTGTTTATTGTAAATGAATCCTCACCTTGTAGTATTAGAGAAGTCTACCAAAAAACACCCATAAAAATGTTTTTCAATTAAGGAAGGAGTAACCCACAGCATCAAAAGCTTTGAGTGGAAGTTGAGCATGATGGCGCATGCCTATAATCCCCGTGGCTCCAGAGGCTGAGGCAGGAGGATCACAAAAGTTCAAAGCCAGCCTCAGCAACAGTGAGGCACTGAGCAACTCAGTGAGACCCTGTCTCTAAATAAAACAAAATAGGGTAGAGATGTGGTTCAGTGGTTGAGTGCCCCAGAGTTCAATCTCCAGTACCAAAAACAAAACAAAAAAACTGGGATGTACTCAATGGATAAGTACCCCTGGGTTACAAAAAACAAACTTCAAGTGGACCAGGCATGGTGTCACATACTTGTGATCCCAGCTACTCAGAAGGCTGAGCCAAGAGGATCACAAGTTCGAGATCTGCCTAGATAATTCAGCCAAACCCTATCTCAAAAGAAAAAAAAATATTTTTTTCAAATAAAAAATAATGGAAAAGAAAAGACCTCTGAGAGGTTGATACATGGTTAATCTCACTTTTACCATCACACATATTTGGTAAATCTACATATGTTAATTTAGACTTGGTTTGACCACAACTGAAAACAAATTAAACATAATTAAAATGGTATAAATGCCTAATCAAGCCTCAAATGGTTTCTAGGGAAAGCAACTTTTAATTCTTTAAGTTTTAATTTCTCACCTAAACCTTACCTTAATCCGGTTTCCGAGGTAATATTGCTGTGGTAAGCATAGATTTTTTCTTCTTCAAGTACATCAGGCTGTGGTTTGTCTCTATTAAATTTTCTAATTTTCACTAAAAGAATAAAGTCATTATTAGTCAAAAGTTCCTATTTTCATTTATTCAAATTACATGAATTGGCTGTTTTTCAGCTGGTTTATTCATTAATGTTCTCAAATATTTCAAATTCTACCAATCTGATACTAGCACTGGAGAGAGAAGATTATTACTGGCACTGATAATAACAACAGACGTTTATTGTGTACTCAATGCATGAGATACAGTTTAAGTGTTTTACACCAGGACCTCATTGTGTTCAGATAATCACCTGGTGAAGTGGCTATTTTACTCCTATTTATACAAATGAGTAAAGTTCAGCCAGGCTTCTAAACTAGGAGTCCTGATACAGTCTTTACACTACTTTACAGAATCAGGACTACTTTAGAAAAGAGTCTCTTCGAATGTCCTTCTCTGGGCATTTCACAGACACAGAATCACGTAATTAGGTAGTTTTAAAAATAATTGGCTTCTTTTACTGGGGAAGTTTTCAAGGTTTATCCACATTGCAGTGTACACATTCTGTTCAACTGTTCATCAGTTTACCCCCAAAACATTTGGGCTGTGTCCACTTTTTGGCCATTATGAATAATGTTGCGTTGAACATTCACGTATGTGTGTTTCTGTGGACACATAATTCCAGTTCTCTTGGATATATACCTAGGAGTTAAGTGCTGAGCCACAGGGTAATCAATGTTTAATCCTTCCTTTGAGGAATTGCCAGACTCCACATCTGATCCTGAAGTACATTCTCAGCTGAGAACTAAGTTGAAGAAGTTCAAGTGAATTATTAACATGAGAAGATGAGATGTGCAGACAGTTTCCAGAAACGACCAGTAAGGAAGTGAGCAGTACCTAGTCAAAGGTACAAAGAATGGAAATATATAGAAGCCCCTCAATTTTATTAAGTGGCCAAGGAAATCAGAAATGAAGAATGCTTTGACTTAAGTGGAACTGGGCACAGAACATGAAGTGCTGCACCTGCCAAGCTGGAGAAGACAGAGGCCCCACCTATGACAGGTCTGGAGAACATTCAGCAAAGGAGAAAAGTACAGAAGGGCAGTCAGAAAACCTCCGGGAAAGTGAAAGTCTCAGCAAATGAACACACTGCAAGGAGGCGTGATCAACTGTCCAGGGTCCCTGGAAGATCCAACAGATGAGGGCTGCTGGTGTGTCTGACACCAGTTGTTTATATTCATGTCTCTCTAAAATGGTTTCTTCCACATAATTTCTAAATAAAGAAAGAAAACTGGAACACATTCATCTTTTAGACACAGAAGTTTGTTGAACTGGGGACCAGGGGATAACACTTACATAGTTTTAAAGGAGAAGTTTAGAATGGGAAATAAAACCTGTACCCATAGTCTGATGGCATACAAATATTCATTTTGCTAAGTGTGGTGGCCCACATCTATAATACCAGAGACTTGGGAGACTGAGGCAGGAAGATTACAAATTCGAGATCAGCCTCAGCAACTTAGTAAGACCTTGTCTCAAAATATATTGAAAGAAAAAGACTGGGGATGTAGCTCAGTGGTAGAGCATTCCTGGGTTCGATCCCCAGTGCCTAAATAAGTAAATAAAATTAAAATGTCCATCTTTCAGAGTCACCTTGGCAGTTTGAAAAATAAAAATAAGTTAAATTGCCAAGCATGGTGGCGCACTCTGCAATCCCCAAGGGAGGAGGATTGTAAGTTCAAGCCATTTAGTGAGGCCTAAAGCAACTTAGTGAGACCATCTCAAAATAAAAAATGAAAAGGGCTGGCAATGTAGCTCATTGGTAGAACAATTGCTCAGCATGTGCAAGGCCCTGGGTTCAATTCCCAGTACCACCACCAAATAAATTTTTTAAATAATAAAAAAAGAAAAGCAATTGAATTGGATGCATTCAGGCATTTTCAGATCACAGGTTAGATAAAACACCAAGGCAAACCACACAGAATATGAATCTTCTAGTCATTTTTCCTGTCATGAGCCAGAAAAAGCATGTATGCCAGAACATCAGAGTAAAAAGACAGGTGAGCTTGCACACTGTTCACATGTTCTTTGATCCTGTATTGGAACTCTTACTTCAGGGCTGCTTGAAGGCTCAGAACTGTGGCTTGCATGGATTCTTCTTGCTTATGTTTAAATGAATGGAGAGTTAATCTAATTTATTATTGCAAAAAATGCTTTAAACTGTATTTTCCTAGTGTTTCCCTACAGAGGCAGTAAGTCAAATTAATGCTCAATGAGAAGAGTCCCTTTTTAGTTTCTGGAGATTAACTACCTACAATACAAATAAATTAGTCAAGTTTAGAGCAGAATTAGTACCTCAATCAATCAATGTCCTAAAGGGCTTCTACCAACATCACCACAACAGAGCTCTCTCTTAAAACCCTTTTAGGGGCTGGGGATGTGGCTCAAGTGGTAGCAGGCTCGCCTGGCATGCTTGCGGCCCGAGTTCGATCCTCAGCACCACACACAAACAAAGATGTTGTGTCTGCTGAAAACTAAAAATAAATATTAAAAATTCTCTCTCTCTCTTAAAAAAAAAAACCCTTTTAGTATAAAGAAACAAGAAAGATGCCTTTATAAGAGAACCAACCTCAAATTTTCTGTGACATGCCACATTCAGCAGCAAGTGTCTCTAGCAGCTACTCCCTAAATTCTCTCCTGTGAGAACCTATAGTGTGCCTTTAAATTCACTATAACATAAAAAGTAAGCCTATAGGGCTGGGGGTGTGGCTCGATGGTGAGCATTTGCCTACCCGGAAATGTATTTATTTATTTATTATTTATTTATACATCCTCCACGCTATAAAAATAAACTCATTAAAATGCTCATGAACTCCTATGCTCAAACCTAACTCTCATTATAACACTGAAGAGACACGATATATCACAGAATGAAACTGATCTCAATCGAAAGGATAATTAAATGTTACTTATGACACGTGCATCATTTTATTGATGTACTGAGCCACTAACAATGTTCTGAAAATGAAAGTCTCATTCTATTCTATAAAGTTAACTGGGTGGTATGCATGCTTTTTTTTTTCTTTTTTTTCCTCCCTTTCTTTGCAGTATTGGGGAACTGAACCCAGGGTACTCTACCTCTGAGCTACATCCCTAGTTATCATCTCTCATCCCAATCCCCTTTCTTTTTTGAGACAGGGTCTTGCTAAATTGATGAGACTGGCCTTAAAACTTGTGATGCTCCTGCCTAAGCCTCCTGAATCGCTAGGATTACAGGCATGTGCCACCGTGCCCAGCCAATACACACCTTGTTTTAACAGTGAAGTGCAAGTATAATCCTATACTCAACCCGAATAACTGCTAACCACTAAATACATTTAAGGGCTGGGGATGTGGCTCATGTGGTAGCGCGCTTGCCTGGCACACGCGTGGCGTTGGGTTCGATCCTCAGCACCACATACAAATAAAAATGTTATGTCCGCCGAAAACTAAAAAAAAAAAATATTAAAAAATTCTCTCTCTCTCAAAAAAAAAAAAAAATGAAATGCAATTGGCTAGGAAAATTCTTGGGGAACTTTAAAAAAATAAATAAATAAATACATTTAAAATCAGTGTACAGTTTATCCGTAACATTTAACAAAGACAGACTCCTTGCTTTTGCCTGCAGACATATGATGGATGGCGAAAGCAGGATTAGAAACATCGCATCTCTGCCTCCATTTTGCATCAGCCTCCTTTGCTGATGAGTCACATCTGATTAATAAATATCTTTCTTTTTTCTTTTATTCTTTGGTACCGGGGATTAAATCCAGGGGCACTTTACCACTGAGCTATATCCCCAGTCCTTTTATTTTTTGAGACAGGGTTTCACTAAATTGCTAAGACTGGCCTCAAATTCCTAACTATCTTGTCTCAGCCTCCCCAGTCAATGGGATTACAGGTGTGTACATCCTGCTCCCTCAGCTCAATAAACTTCCTATACAAACAGGGCCTAGCCAGACCCATCCAGAGATAAAACTGGACGGACCACACCTGCCCAAGGTCACTTGCTTTAGAAGCCTCCAGCCATGCAAACCCATAGGCTTCATTTCCCATTAACTCAATGCCACCAAGTTAGCTGCTATTTCCGACAGACTGCACCTCAAAGTCATTGTTAACTCCTCGTCTGAGACAAGGCTAAGGACGCAGGTCCCATTTTCTTCCTAGCGTAACTACATTGATTAAAGTTTTTTTCATGCTTTTCACCATTTCCTTTTCTCTCTGGTTTTCTGGGAGAATGGAGGGACCCAATTTGCTGGATCCCCGGAGTCAGGTCTCTGGCCTTGAACCCTGCAGCCACTCACTCACATTTACAAACTAATCACTCTTGGTATTATAAACCTCCTCCTGTTGGCCTCAAGGACACACACACAAAATCAGTAAAATGAAACTTGAGAGAAGGCCCAGATGACTGCTTGACAACCAGAGAAATGATTTCTTTCAAATGAATACATTCATACTAACAAAACCACCATTAGCTCAATGCCACCAAGTTAGCTGCTATTATGGACAGACTGCACAGCCTGAAGCAGAACTGAAATCTAGATTTCTCCAGCCCTGAATTTGTTGTTAAAGTGTCCTTGTAGCCCAGTGCATTGGCACATGCTTGTAATCCTAAACCCAATGATTTGGGAGATTGAGGCAGGGGGTGGTTGCAATTTAGAGGCCAGACTGGGCGATTTAGCAAGACCCTTTCTCAAACAAAAAAGGTTGGGAATGTAGCTCAGTGAGAGTGTGCTACTGGATTCAATCCCTAGTACTGCTAAATAAATGAAAAAATAAAATAAATAAAAAATAGTATATAAAAACATTTTAACGTATCTAAAGTTTATTCAATTTTACCTCTGAGGGTTTTCAGAGAGCGAAAGACATTTTTAAACTCAGAAAATGGGTTCCTAAATGGCTTACCCCAAAACAAGTTAGAGGTAAATGCAGTTTTGCATCTATAATTTCCTCATATATTTAATTATCTTGTATTACTTTTATTTTATATTTGGATACCAGGGACTGAACCCAGCACTTAACCACTGAGCCACATTCCTAGCCCTTTAATCCCTTCCCCCTCCCTAATCTCAGGGGAAAACAGGATTCCTTTCTTCCTCATTCTAGGCAGAGTTATCTGTCCTTGAGCACACACCCATCACAGGAATTAAGTAATTCAGACTTGGGGAATGGCACCAGAGAAATGATTTCTTTCAAATGGATACATTCATAGTAACAAAACCAGCATTAGCTCAATGCCACCAAGTGGCATTGAAATGACTATCTTCCAAACAGACATGTGAATTCAAACTCAGAGAACATGTGATATGTAGCCTTTGACTGTCTCTTTAAAAACCTTGCTCCTGCTGATGGGCAAAACCAGGCTCTGGAACAGGAGTCCCGGTGTTTCTACTTTGCTAGCAAAGCAAGAAAACTTCTTTTTCCTTTTTCTCAAAACTGTGTCCTTGTTATTGGATTGGCATGGGGACAAGGACCGGGCTTTCAGTTAACACTGCCTCAGCCTCCGCGCCGCGAGATTACAGGCACACACCATCACACCAGACAGTTGCTTTTATTTTTAAATATCAGAGTTATACTTTGGTTGACTTTAATGGAAGCAAAAAGTTTATCAGGCTTTTTTCTTGTTTTCAAATGAAAAGGCTTCACTTTAGTTGACAAAAACTTATTGAAGACACAAACTTGGAAAAGTGCCTCACTGGGGGCTGCAGGTGTACCTTTTCCCTATTGGTTTGAGAGGAGAGGAGCCTGGATGTGACCAGCAGTGGACCATACAGATGCAAAAAGGTTCTCAGCTACACAGGAAAACTTCCTTGTCACTAAAACAATGGTCTACGCGTCAAACTAGGAGGAAAAAACAGTTAAGTAAAGGTCTTACAAAATGGAAAAATGGCGATTCTCACCTGCATAAATGAGCAGACAGGTCAGGGAGCAGAGCAGTTCCAGGGCCAGGATGGCCAGAATGAGGTCAAGGTACAACCTGCTGGGCTCAGGGAAAGAATGCTGCATGCACAGTATGAGGAGGAGCATCGTGTTTCCTGAGAAGGAGAAACACACAGAACATGAACTGAGAAAGTGTAGTGGGCCTTCATCCTTGGCACAGAGTTCTGAAAACCCTTGTAGTTTCCTGAGCGACAAGAGAACACCTTTTGTTATAATTGGTTTTTGTATAGTTCCTAAAAAGCCTTGTAATGTCCTCATGTAACAGTGGTCCACTTTATGCTTTGAATTTAGCCCTCTCTGCTCTGCCACAGCAACTTATTTTTAAAAATGGACACGTTTCTTTCTCTTCCTCTCTCCCTGTTCCTCCTTAATCTCAGGGGTAACAGGATTACCTCCCCCTCCCTCCATTCTAGGCAGAGCTATCTGTCCTTGGGTACACACCCACCACAGGAATGAAGTAATCCAGACTTTGGTGATGATTCCAGAAGATCTCAGAAATGACTATCTCCCAATGGACAAGTGAATTACAACTCCAACAGAGTACACATGGAATGTAGCCTTTGAGTCACCTCTTTAAAAGCCCCCTGTTCCTGCTGATGGGCAGATCACAGCTTTTGGGACAGCACCCTATGTTTTTCCTTTGCTAGCGAAGCAATAAACCTTTTTCCCAAAACCGTGCCCTTGTTATTGGATTGGTATTGAGGACAAGGACTGAGCTTTTAAAAATAAATACTTCCTGCTTTGCAACTTACACAATTTTTCATGTCTCTTGTTGTACGCAAAGTACAGTCACACCATTTGTATCTTCATACATGTACTTGGGGCAATGGTGTCCATCTCATTCTACTGTTTATCTGTTATGCTCGAATTTGGGACCCCCCAAAAGACCACCAGAGACCAAGATCGATGTAAGCAGCAAAGAGGTGTTTATTGTGAGCTAGCTCGGTCCTCCGCGCACACACACAGCAACTGGTGACCCTGAGGCCCGGAGCCCAGGGTTTGCAGCAGTTTTATTTACTCTTTGGGGAAGGCAGGGACTTCACATACATCATAACAACTCTTAGCAAATCATCACACACCGCGGGAAAATCAAATAACAACTCTAAAACATGATTAGCATATTCACTGGCGGGAACAAGTTGGACAGGGGTGATTGGTCAGTACAAGAGGGGATTCATTTGAACTGATTGGTTTAAGCCATGAGGGGAGTGCGTGCTGAACTACATGTTTCCCAACAAGTTATCAACCCCCATAAACTACTGAGAGGGTCATCTGGCATCCCAGGTATTTCCCTGTCTCATGCTGATTGGTGGCTGCTAAGGGGTTGCTATGGGTCCCCACCTAGCCTGACTGAGTCAGGGACACCTGGCGCAGCAGATCTCTCCTGTTATTTGTAGATAAATCATTTAGCAGGGTGGGAATGTGCCTAGGAGTGCTCTGTGGGTCTTTTCAAGGACAAAGGTCATGTTCCTTCCTTGGACAGGCTTTGCTCTGAGGTAGAGGCTGGCTTTTCATATCATACCCCCAAGTCCCCTCCCTTCCCCACTGCAACTTATTTCTAAAACAGACATGTTTCTTTCTCTTCATCTCTCCCTGCTCTTCCCTAATCTCAGGAGAAACAGGATTACCTTTCTTCCCCATCCTAGGCAGAGTTATCTGACCTTGAGTACATACCTATTGCAAGAACTACGTAATTCAGATTTTGGGAATGGCACCAGAGAATCTCAGAAATGATTATCTCTCAAATTAACAAGTGAATTATAACAAGAGAATGTAGCCTTTAAATCATCTCTTTAAAAAAGCTCTGATCCCCCAGATGGACAGAATCACAACCTTTAGAACAGGAGTCCTCTGGGTTTGTCCTTTGCTAGCAAAGCAATAAAACTTCTTTTTCCTTTTCAAAACCATGTCCTCCTTATTGGATTGGCATCAGGAACAAGGACTAAACTTTTAGCAACAATATTATCTATTTCTACTAAACCACTCATTCAGCTTATCTACTTTTTCTTTTTTCTTCTTCTTTTTTTTAAATTCTAGCTGGGGATGGTGGCACATGCCTGTAATCCTAGCATTTTGAGAGGCTGAGGCAGGATGATCACAAGTTTTGAGGCCAGCCTCAGCAATTTAGCAAGGCCTTAAGCAATTTGTTGAGACTGTCTCAAAAAGCAAAAAGGGCTGGCCCTGAGTTCCATCCCCAGTACCTAAAACCAAAACAAAAATTCTTTTTTTGTGTGTACCGGGGTTAGGGCCACATCCCCAGCCCTAGTTTGTATTTTATTTAGAGACAGAGTTTCACTGAGTTGCTTAGCACCTTGTTTTTGCTGAGGCTGGCTTCAAACTCAAGATCTTCCTGTCTCAAGCCTCCAGAGACACTGGGATTACAGGCGCCAAAAACTGTGCCTGGCTCAAAAATTCTATTTATTTTTTAAATATACTCCTTAAAAAACAAACAAACAAAAAACCAAAAACACCTTCACTTCATTTGTTTTATTTGTATGTGGTGCTGGGGACTGAACTCAGTGCCTCAAGCATGCTAGGCAAGCACTCTACCACTTAGCCACAACCCCAGCCCTCAAAAATTCTTTTTAATTAATTAATCAAGTATTATGGTGCTGAGGATTGAACTTAAGGTGTCAAGCATTCTAGAAAGTGTTCTATCACTACATCCCCAGCCTTATTTATTTATTTTTTCTTTTGGTATCAGGGATTGAACCCAGGGGTGCTTACACAATGAACCACATCCCCAGCCCTTTTTATTAAAGACAGGGCCTCACTAAATTGCTGAGGCTGGCTTGGAACTTGCAATCCTCCTGCCTTAGCCTCCATAGCTAATGAGATTATAGGCGTGCACCATTGCTCCTGGCTTCTATTGTTTTATTTTTGAGGATCATTTTAACCTCATTTTGTAACAAGGGTTCACTTGATCCTTTGAAACTTAGATTTTTTTTTTTCTTTTTCCCAATCTTCTTCCTGATCTCCTCCCTGATCTCTCTACCTAATCTCATTTTCTCTGAAGCACAAAAAAAGGCCCCTGTTCCTGAGGATGGGCAGCATCAGAGCCTTTGGGGCAGGAGTCCTCTGTTTGTCCTTTGCTAGCAAAGCAATAAACTTTCTTCCTTTTTCTCAAAACTGGCAACAAATTTGCCCTTTTACTCTGAAGACTGTCAAAGAAAATTTTAGAGACACAAGATTCTTAGAATTTCCTAAAAGTTATTTAGCATATTTATCTACATCTGAGTAGGGGAAAACAATGCTTATTTAATTTTCTCCCATTTGTACAAAAGGAATGACTCTGAACCAAAGAGTCCTCTTTTTTGGGGGGGTGGTGCTGTGGATTGAACCCAAGGCCTTATGCATGCTAGGCAAACACTCTACCAACTGAGCTTATCCCCAGCCCCACAAACAGACATTTTTAAAAGGACCTATCAAAACTAATTACACAGCCAGGCGTGATGGCACTAGCCTATAATCCCAGCTGCTGGGGAAACTGAGGTAGGAGGAACTCGAGTTCAAAGCCAGTCTCAAGAAGAGTGAGGTGCTGTCTCTAAATACAAAATAGGGCTGGGGATGTGGCTCAGTGGTCCAATGCTCCTAAATTCAACCCCTGGTACCTCCCAACTCCAATAATAATAATAATAATTTCACAAAGCCCTATGCCTTCCCCTTATACTCTTTGTAACATAATTTTTTAAATGGGACAAATAGTTTTACAACATTAAGATAAACAGACAACAGAGTACTAAAAAAACCCCTCTGCACATAAATGAAACAGCATGCAAAGGATTTAAGGTACTGAGCAACCCCATATGCCAGCACTCTGGTGGGTCACAGGCTGTAACTGGGAGTTTATGGTGCATGAAATCTGCAGCCTGGAAGGAGAGGGGCATGCTGAAATAAAACATTCCCTAAAATGGTACGTGCTGTGGACAGCACACAAGACCTCTCAGTCAGGAAGTACTGCCCAGCATGATATCTTAGTTCAGACCTAGATCCTTGCCCTGGGGTACTATAGCAGCCTCCTTAACTGCCCCCTCCAGCCATGGCCAGAGTGATCTTTCCAACTCTCAAAACTCTCAGCAAAGCCTTCCCTTCCAAGGCTGCCTCTCTCTAAACTTGTGGCAACCCTCATGATCTGGCCCTGGATGACTTCTTCAGGTCATTCTTCCCAGCTTAAACTCCTCTGAGTCCACTTCCTCAGAGCTCATTAGAAGCTGGGCAGTGCACACACCTATAATCCTGGTGACTCAGGAAGCTGAGGTAGGAGGATTGCAAGTTCAAATCAGCCTCAGTAATTCAGTGAAGCTGTAAGCATCTTACTGAGACCCCAAAATCAAAATTAAAAAATAAAAGAATGGTTGGGAATATAGCTCAGTGGTAAAGCACTGCTGGGTTCAATCCCTGGTACGGGGGGGGGGGGGGGGGGGGGGAAGAAGAAAAAAGTCATTAGTTCATCAGAAACTTTCTACATGACAGTATACAATATACAACCAGTTTTCTTTGTAAGTGCTTTTATAACCACAGACATAGCCTGTGTGTTTCATTTCATTTGCCATTAAAGAAAAAAAAAAAACTATTAGAGCTGGTCCTGGTGTTGCACACCTGTAATAACCGTCTCAGGAGGTTGAGACAGGAGGATCTCAAGTTCAAGTTCAGACTGGGTAACTTAGATCTTGTCTCAAGATAAAATAAAAAGGCCTAGGGATGTTGCTCAGTGGCAGATGAGATACCTAGGATGTGCAAGGCCCTGTCCAAATCCAAGAACAACAAAAAAATGAAATAAAAGTTCTTGGAAGAAATGAGCTCTTGTGGGCTGGGAGACAGCTCAGTGGTAGAGCATGTCCCTAATATGTGCAAGGCCCGAGTTCAATCCCTAACTGTCCACCTACTGAAAATAACAAGAAGAAGAAATAAAATAAAATCTCACAAAGCCCTGGACTCTTCCACTAAAAAACTAGAGAAATAATACCGAGCAACCAGGGTTTTTGGAGGAAGTGAATTGACAATGCCTAAGTGTTCAGCAAGTGATATATTTCATTAGTATAACAATAATTCTGGGAGCTGAGGGTGTGGCTCAGTGGTAGCAGGCATGAGGCCCCAAGTTTGATCCATAGCAATGCATGTAAATATATATCACAGACCCAGGCACATTCCATGAAGCCTCTCCTCCAAAGCAACTCTATACAGAAAATTTAGCCAGACAATGTCACAGTGAAAGACCTTGTCCCTCTGCCTGCCTGAGCCCAAGAGCATCAGGCCCAGTCCTCAGTGAGAACCCTGCCAGCAGGAATTTCTATGATAGCCTTGGGTCCCCGGAGGAATGTGAGGCCAGTGAGAGATAAGAGTGTATAGGACACGGTCACTAGTCACTGTGTCCTCAGGCATACCTACCTTCTTTTTCCAAAATAATAAAAATAAAAAAAATTAAAGTAGTTTGGCACCTATAATTCTAGCTTCTAGAAAGGCTGAGGGAGGAGAATCTCAGGTTCAAGGATAATTCAAGTTAGTTCAAGGACCCCATCTCAAAATAAAATAAAAAGCGTTTGGGATATAGTTCAATGGTAGAGCATTTCCTTGTTTGTGGAAGACCTTGGTTTCAATCCCCAGTACTGCCAAGAAAAAAAAAAAAGTCTAGTTGTTAAAAACAGATCATTATTAAGAGTCACATACCCAGTGTCACAAGAGGCTGAGGCAGGGGGATTACAGGTTCAAGGCCAGCTCAGCAACTTAGCGAGACCCTGTCTCAAATTAAAAAAAAAAAGAGTTCTTGCCTAGCATGCATGAGCCCCTGTGTTCAATCCCCAGCACCACACACACACACACACACACACACACACACACACTATTTCAAAGACCATCATTTGAGAAATAGTATATTTGGTGACAGACATAAGATCTGTCAGTAAAGATCCAGGTTTTTGCTTTTATCTTTATGTTATAGTGACATCTTCTGGCCAAAAAAGAGTGTTACACACCAACAGCTGAACATGGAAACCAAGTTCATCTTCTAAAGATAGGAAGCAAAAAGAACCTCCCCCAGGAGCTTGGGTTGTGGGTCAATGGTAGAGTGCTCACCTAGCACACGTGAGGCACTGGGTTCAAACCTCAGCACCACATAAAACTGAAATAAAGATATAAAATATATGGCACCAAAACAGGCTGGTGGACCAATGGTACAGGATAGAGGACAGAGACTAACCCACAAAACTACAACTACCTTATATTAGACAAAGGTGCTGAAAGAATGCACTGGAGAAAGGACAGCATCTTCCACAAATGATGTTGGGAAAACTGGAAATCCATATGCAACAAAATGAAATTGAATCCCTATCTCTCATGCACAAAAGTTAACTCAAAATAGATCAAGGATCTAGGAATTAAACCAGAGACTCTGTGTCTAATAGAAGAAAAAGTAGGCCCTAATCTCCATCACGTGGGACTAGGCCCCAATTTTCTTAATAAGACACCTATAGCACAAGAATTAAAATCAAGAATCAACAAATGGGATGAATTCAAACTGAAAACGTTTTTTTCTCAGCAAAAGAAATAATATGTGAGGTGAATAGGGAGCCTACATCCTTGGAACAAATTTTTACCCCTCACATTTTAGATAGAGCTCTAATCTCTAGGGTATGTAAAGAACTCAGAAAGCTAAATACCCCCCCCCCCCCAATAATAATAACCCAATCAACAAATGGGCCAAGGACCTGAACAGACACTTCTCAGAAGAGGATATACAATCAATCAACAAATATATGAAAAAAATGCTCATCATCTCTAGCAATCAGAGAAATGCAAATTAAAACTACTCTAAGATACCATCTCACTTCAGTCAGAATGGCAGCCATGATGAAGACAAACAACAACAAGTGCTGGCGAGGATTTGAGGAAAAAGGCACACTCATACATTGCTGGTGGGACTGCAAATTGGTGCAGCCAATCTGGAAAGCAGTAATGGAGATTCCTTGGAAAGCTGGATGGAATCACCATTTGATCCATTCCTCTTCTCAGACTATACTCAAAAGCCCTTAAAATTAAAAGAGCATACTACAGGGACACAGCCACATCAGTGTTTATAGCAGCACAATTCACAATAGTTAGAATGTGGAACCAACCTACATGCCCTTCAATGGATGAATGGATTAAAAAAAATGTGGCATTTATACACAATGGAATATTACTCAGCACTAAAAAATAATAAGATCATGGCATTTGTAAGGAAATGGATGGCATTAGAGCAGATTATGCTAAGTGAAGTTAGTCAATCCACCCCCCCAAAAAAATGCCGAATGTCTTCTCTGATATAAAGGGGTGACTCAAAATGGGGAAGAGAGGAAGAGCATGGGAAGAAGATTACCTCTACATAGGGAAGAGGGGTGGGAGGGAAAGGGAATTGCATGGATGGTGGAAAGAGACCCTCATTGCTATACAAAATACATGTATGAAGATGTGAGGGGAAAAAAAAAAAAGAATAGCGTTAATTAGGTAGAGAGAAGTGAGGGGAGGGGAGGGCAGGGGCTGGGGAGATAGGAAGGATAGTAGAATGAAACAGACATTATTATTACTGTGTGTATATATGTGACTTCATGACCAATGTGATTCTGCAACCTGTATACTCAGAAAAATGAGAAATTATATCCCATCTGATTCAAATGTATGATATGTCAAGGTCATTGTACTGTCATGTGTAACTAAGTAAAACAAATAAAAAAAAAGATATAAAAAATAAATATTGCATCATAGTTTAAAAAAGAAAAGCTCCCCCTAGGGAAGATCAAACAAGATCACCATCTCCATAAATATTTCTCTCTCCTTGACAGTGTGGCACTTCAGCTTCCACTGAGAACTTCACTCGGGAGATGAGCTTGCAGCTTGCCCTTTAAAAGCACTCACAAAGCACAGAAGAAAAATAAAAGATTTGGTGAAGTTGTTTTTCTGGGGAAAAATGAAGTTCTTTTTTCTTCTTTGTGATACTGGGGACTGAACTTGGGGCCTTGCACATGCTAGACAAGCATTGAGCTACATTCCAAATCCTTTTTTTTTGGTACCAGGCAATTGAACTCAGGGGCACGCGCCACTGACATCCCTTGCCCTCTTTTGTATTTTATTTAGAGACAGAGTCTCACCGAGTTGCTTAGGGCCTCACTTTTGCTGAGGCTGGCTTTCAACTCTCGATCCTTCCGCCTCAGCCTCCTGAGCCATATAGGGATTATAGGCGTGTACCAGCATGCTAGGTTCCATTCGTTTTTTGTACTGGGGATTGAACCCACGGGCGCTTTATCTACAGTCCTTTTTATTTTTTACATCGAGACCCTGTCTTAAATTGCCTACGCTAACCACGAGTTTACAATCTTCCTGCTTCAGCTTCCCAAATCACTGGGATTACGGGAATGCGGCACTGCACCCATTATGTTTAGACAGAGTCTTGCTAAATTGCCCAGAGGCCTCGAATACGAGATCCTCCTGCCTCAGCCTCTCAGGTAGCTGGGTTTATAGGCTCAGCCACCAGGCCCTGCTAGAAAAATGAATTCCTAATCTGGATTCAGAATATTCAAACGTTTACTCTGGACTCCAAATGAGGTTCTCCTAAAAAGGTAAGTCAAAAGTGCCTAAAGAAATTCAGTTTACTTCCACAGCCTTTAAAATGTATGCAACAATAAAGAAAATCAAGCATTCATGTATTCCCAGTCCTAAATGAAGCTTCTGATCATACCTTCATAAATTAGGACCTGTGTGTTTTACAAGTCTTATTTTGGATACTAGATTTTTTTTTTGGACCAGGGATTGAACCCTGGGGCACTTAACCACTGAGCCACATCCCCAGTCTTTTTTTATTTTGAGACAGGTGTTGCTGAGTTGCTAAGGCTGGCCTTTAATTTGTGATCCCCCTGCCTGAGCCTCCCAAATAGCTGGGATTACAGGTGTGCACCACTGCACCTGGCTACTGAATACTGTATCTTCTTAAGCTGAATAAACCTGCTGATACCAAAAAGGGGGGAAAATCTACATTGTACACAGGGACACACAGATACCATGTCCACAAAAATGCAAATTTCAAGTGAAAACCAAGTGTATAAGAAAACCAGACAGTGGCCATGACACACAGCACTCACAACACTGAGAGAATACACTGGGTCATACAATCCAACTTCATGGGTCCTTTCTGCTGTCATTTGGCTACTCAAGGCCCAGAGACGCCAAGAAAGCGGGCTTACCGGTGGAGTGTGTCACCAGGGCGAGGCTCTTCAGATGCCTTGTGGCTCGGTAGATCTGGTTATAGCCACGGTTTCTCACTTTGCTGTGGTGATACTGAATGTAGCGTTCCAGAAGTAAGTGCAGAATCCACAAAATGACTTTTCCTAGGATTATGACTGTCTGGACTTTCAGTGGGTTGGTGTAGTTTCCAGGGCACTTGTCCTCGTTTGGGTCAGGGTAAGAACAAAGCACACCTGTCAAGAACGCTAAAATAACAAACACAACCTGGCGGAAAGGAAAGCAGCTGATGAATACTCAATATATGGAATTAGGAACAATAATTGCCACCCCAGGAAATACTCTGCACCCATAATTCCTACTATCCTATTTTTATAAAAAAGTCTGAAAACCTTTTTTTTTTGGTCATTTTTTTACAAATTTGAAAAACAATGTCACAAATAAAAATTATCCCAAATCCCATCTAAAACAAATGCTAATGTAATGCTCAACAGTTTCTTGCTACCTCTTTTATTAAAAAGAGGTTAAGTGTTTTGAGCAACTAAAAAAAAAAGATTAAGGGGCTGAGGTTTTGGCTCAGCGGTAGAGCGCTCGATTCGCAAGGCCCTGGGTTTGATCCTCAGCACCACACAAAAATAAATAAATAAAATAAAAAGTTATAAAAAAATTTTTAAAAAGGTAACTAATAATAATCATGGTTTAAAAAAGTTTAGCTGAGTGTGATGGTGCACACATGTAATCTCAGTGATTTGGGAGGCTGAGGCAGGAGTATTGAAAGCCACCCTCAGCAACTTAGTGAGACCCTATCTCAAAAAATAAAAAGGTCTGGGAATGTGGCTCAGTGGTAAAGTGCTTCTGGGTTCAATATCCGGTACTAAAAAAAAAAAAAAAGTTTAACTGACTGGTGCTAGAATATAGACACACAAGACTTACTTGAAAACTGCTAACTAGGGCTACGGTTGTAGCTCATTGGTAGAGCAATTGCTTAGCACATTGTGAGGCACTGGGTTCAATCCTAATCATCACATGAAAATAAACAAAATAAAGGTATTATATCCATGAAAAAAAATTGCTAACTGGGCTGGGGATGTGGCTCAAGCCGTAGCGCGCTCGCCTGGCATGCGTGCGGCCCGGGTTCGATCCTCAGCACCACATACAAACAAAGATGTTGTGTCCGCCAAATACTAAAAAATAAATATTAAAATTCTCTCTCTCACTCTTTAAAAAAAAAAATTGCTAACTAAACTGCAAATTGCTTTTGGAGAATAATTTGGAAATGTCTTGACCCAGAAAACCTACTTTAAGGTCTCTATTGCTCCAAAGTTAAAGTACAAATACCCAGAATACTGGGATACAAATATTTATTATAGTACTTCCTATATTTGCAAAAACCTAAAATTGCCCATATATTTGCCCATCTACTATGAAATGCTTGAATAAATTAAGACATACCCACCCATGTTATAGAATATTATGCACCTGGAAAAGAATTAACTAAGCACTGGATACAGTGATGCATTTCACCAATCTCAGAGATTCAGGAGGTTGATGCAGGAGGATTGTAAATTTGAGGCCAGCCTCAGCAGCTTAGTGAGGCCCTAAGCAACTTAGACCCTGTCTCATAAATAAAAAAAAGACTGGGAATGGAACTCAGTGGTAAAGCACCCCTGAGTTCAATCCCCAGTACAATAAAACAAACACACAAAAACAACTCTGTGTATTGGTTTGCCTCTCTGATATGTTAAGATTAAGCAAGCGTGTTAGAAATGCACACACTGGAGCCTGCCCTAATCCTTTTTAAGCCAGAATCTCTGGGGATGCAACCCAGCAATCTGTCTTTTCACAAGCCTGTCAGCAGAGTCTGATGTGTGAATCTGAGAAACACTGTTAGAAACACACAGGGGCTGGGGATATAATTTTTTGTTAGAACACTTGTCTCGCACACATGAGGACCTAAAACTCAGGGGTACTCGACCACTGAACCACCTCCCCAGCCCTATTTTGTATTTTATTTAGAGACAGGGTATCACTGAGTTGTTTAGTGCCTCACTGTTGCTGAGGCTGGCTTTGAACTCTCTATCCTCCTGTCTCAGCCTCCCGAGCTGCTAGGATTACAGGCGTGTGCCACCGCACCCATTGATCCAATTTTTTAAAAGTGGGGTAAATCCCTTTGTATAGGTGCTAATATCTTTGTATATATTTGCATTGTATTTATTTATCTATTTTTGTACTGGGGATTAAACCCAGGGGTACTTAACCACTGAGCTATATCCCCAGCACCCCCCACCCCTTTTTTGTATTTTATTTAGAGAGAGGGACCCACTGAGTTGCTTAGGGCCTTGCTAAATTGCTGAGGCTGGCTTTGAACTCTCAATCCAACGGCCTCAGCCTCTGGAGCTGCTGGGATTAAAGTTGTGCACCACCACAGCTGGCTATTTTCTTTCTTTATTTTTGTAGTACTGGGGAGTGAACTCAGAGGTACTCTACCACTGAGCTACACTCCCAGCCCTATTTTAAATTTTGAGACAGGGTCTAAGTTGCCAATGCTGTCCTAGAATCTGAAATCCTCCTGCCTCAGCCTCCAGAGTTCCTGAAATTACAGGTGTACACCTCTGCATCCATCAATATTTGCATGAATTTAACAAAAGGCAGTGAAGAATATCAAGAAACTAAACCCACATCAGGGAGAAGACTGACAAAAGAGAAAGGGAAGATCACGATTTTACCTTTATACTTTAGTGATGCTTATTTGTTACACAAGGATATACGATTCTGTGATTTTTAAAAACATCAAATATAACAGTGGGCATAGTAGTGTATGCCTGTAAACCCAGAGACTTGTGAGCCTGAGGCAGGGGATCAAAAGTTTGAGGCCACTTGGGCGCGGTGGCACACGCCTGTAATCTCAGGGGCTCCGGAGGCTCGAAAGTTCAAAGCCAGTCTCAGCAATGATGAGGCGCTAGGCAACTTGGTGAGATCCTGTCTCTAAATAAAGTACAAAATAGGGCTGGGGATGTGGCTTTGTGGTCAAGTGTCCCTGAGTTCAATCCCCAGTACTGATTAAAAAAAAGTTTGAGGCCAGCCTCAGCAATTTAATGAGGTCCTAAAGCAATGTATCGAGAAGTTATCTCAAAAAATAAAAAGGGGTGGGAATGTAGGTCAGAAGTAAAAGCACCCCTAGGTTCAATCCCCAGGACTAAAACAAAACAAAAACAAACTTCAAAACATCATTAATCTGGATGCCATGGCAGTGGCACATACCTGTAATCCCCGCTACTTGGGTGGCTGATGCAGGAAGATCACACACTGAAAGCCAGCCTCTGCAACATAGCCAGAGTCTGTCTCAAATGATCTGCCCCTCCCCACCCATCCTTTGATAATGGGGATTGAAATGAAGGGGTGCTTTACCACTGAGCTACATCCCCAGCCCTTTTTATTTTTTGTTTGAGACAGGATCTTGCTAAATTGCCACACACCTGTAATCCCAGCAACTCAGGAGGCTAAGGAAGGAGGACTGAAAGTCTGAGGCCAGCCTCAGCAATTTAGTGAGGCCCTGAGCAACTTAAGGAGATCTTAAACTCAAAATAATGCCCATCTCCTGTCTCAAAAAATGATTGGGGATATAGCTCAGTAGTAGAGTGCCCCTAGGTTCAATCCCCAGTACTGTAAAGAGAAAAAAGAAGCTATCACTACCATTCACTGCTAAACATCTAAAAGCTGGCAATATGAACACAAAATAAATTTACTAAAATGCATAATACAGGGCTGGGGTTGTAGTCAGTGACAGAATGCTTGCCTACATGTGTGAGACACTGGGTTCGATTCTCAGCATCACATATAAATAAGTAACATAAAGATCCATTGACAACTAAAAAAGTATTTAAAAAAATGAATAATATAGCCAGGTATACTGACACATACCTGTAATCCTACCTACTTAGGAAGCTGAAGTGAGAGGATAGCAAAATGGAACCTAACCTGGACAACTCGATGAAAACCTGTCTTTAAAAAAGAAAAAGTTCTGGGGATATTAAGTAGATCAATGGTAGAGGACCCCCGCTTCAATCCCCAGTATCTCAAAAAAGTTACAAAAAACAAAACAAAGCACAATATTTGTCAAAGTGATTTGTCAAGAGGAATAATATCGAGAGTAAGTATTACAATTCAAGGTTCTTAACACCACAAATCAAAATGTTGAAAATATATATCCCCTATAAAGTAATACAGTGTACACTGAATCCAAGAACCATAAAAGACATTAATTTTTCTTTTTATTTCTTTCTTCTTTTTTGGTGGTACCGGGGACTGAAACCAGGGTCATACACATGCTAGGCGAGTACTCTGCCACTGAGATACGTGCTAGCCCTTTTTATTATTACTTGTTCTTTTCCTTGCACTGCCCACCTCCCTTTTGGGAGACAGTCTTGCTACACTGCCAGGCTGCTCTGGAACTCCTGGGCTCAGGTAATCCTCTCACCTTAGCCTCCCAAGTAGCCAGAACTACATGCACAAGCCACTACACCTGGCAATTTTTTTTTTAAAACACTTAAGATTTTTTGTTAGTCCCAAAATTAAGGCAACCAATCCCACCATATCAAAGAAATGCAATTTAATATGAAAAGGTCTTTAAAAAGTAATGTGTGGGTATATATTCTTTTTTTTTTTTTAATATTTATTTTTTAGGTGTAGATGGACACAACACAATGTCTTTATTTTTATGTGGTGCTGAGGATGGAACCCGGGTCCCCCGGTGCTAGGCGAGCGCTCTATCCCTGAGCCACAATCCCAGCCCCGGTATGTTCTTTATGTAAATAAAGTGTGCTATCCAATAAGTGAAAGTTAAAAGAAAAAGAAGCCACCCCTGCGTGTGGCAGTATCAGGCAGGAGGCATCTCAGCTGAGATCTGGTGTTCAGGAAGTCATGGCAGAGTCACACCACAGCCAGAGAGCCCTGCAAGGAAGACAGATGCTGCCCCTCTCAGGGGTTCAGTTCCAAGTACAAGTCTCCGCCCATGTGCCTCACAGGAGGGGATTCCAGTTGCAGAGAAAACTGGGAAACTTGCTGGGGCAGGCAGCTTCTGCAGAAAGGTAGGCACTTTGGATGGGGTCTGAAGCATCAGCTGGGCCTAGTCAATCCCCACTATTATCCTCAAAACCCAAAGAGCAGGGAAACTTGGCCTTTTTTTTTTTTTTTTTGACTGTTCACATTGCAGCAAATATCAACCCACAGTACTTCTTTTTTTTTTTTCTCTTTACTTGCAGGGGAACAGGGACTGGGGATACAACCCAGGGGCACTTTACTCCCGAGTTACATTCCCTCTTTCTGGCTTTAAAAAAAAAAAAAAAAAATTTTTTTTTTTGAGACAGGATCTCACTAAATTGTGAAGGCTGGCCCCAAACTTACTTGTGATCCTCCTCCCTCAGCCTCCCAAGTCACTGGGATTACAGGTGTATGCCACCATACTTGGCCAAGGAAATGGCTTTATGGACTGAGCAGAGCCATCACCAGCAAGGCCTACTTACACATTTGTAATTTTATCTTCATACAAACATGGAGCTGTTTTGTTCACAATGTTTTGCTGAAACTTGACTTTTCTGCTTCACATTATTTCCTAAGTGTAAGTAAACTGATAAATTCCTGTGTATACTTATTTGCATATATATTTTTTGTTTTGTAACTGAAAAAGTAATACATGTACATGGTTAAAAAAATCAAATAGTAATACAAAAAGTAAACAATAAAATATATTACTGTAATTTCCACCAACGTCCTCATTCTCCACTTCAGTGGCAACCTACATCAATAAGGTCTGTGACTACCCTAAAATATTCTGATATTTAGGAATATGTATACACACCAGCCCTCTCTTCTCCCTTTTAAAAACTACTAACAGGAATATGAAAAATTGTGGTATACATGTGTATTAAGAATTGTAATGAAAAAAAAAAAAACCCACAAAGTACATGTATAAAGGCATTAAAAAATACTATGTAGTGCACAATAAATATATTTACTCTTTTTCAATTAAAAAAAAAAGAAACTACTAACAGGAACATTCTATACAAAATGTTGAAAACCTGATTGTTTTTTAGTCAATAGTGTAATAATAAAGGTTATTCTATGCTAATATATGCACATTTCTTTTATAACAGTTGCATAATAGTCTACATTCATGGGACACATAAAATGTCCCCTGGATAGCAGACTGTTTGCAGTCTTTTTTGAGCCATATCCCCAGCCCTTTTTACTTCTTATTTTGAGACAGGGTCTCACTAAGTTACTGAGGGCCTCACTAAGTTGCTGAGGCTGACCTTGACCTTGCAATCTTTCTGCTCAGTTTCTTTCTTTCTTTCTTTTTTTAGAGAGAGAGAGAGAATTTTAATATTTATTTTCTTAGTTTTCGGCGGACACAACATCTTTGTTTTTTTGTATGTGGTGCTGAGGATCAAACCTGGGCTGCACGCATGCCAGGCGAGCGCGCTACCGCTTGAGCCACATCCCCAGCCCTCTGCTCAGTTTCTTGAGCCACTGGGATTACAGACATATGCCACCAGGCCGCATAGTTTGCAGTCTTAATGTGATAGTCAACATTGCTCCTAACAATATCCTTATGCTTGTACAAATGTATCTATTATAAATTCTCTCAAGTACAGGCATGATCAAGAAAGCATGTAGATTCTAAATATTGACAAATTTAAGTCCAATTGCCCTCTGAAGAGCTTCAATATTTTTAAGGACATCACCACTGGAGAGATCCCCTCTGGCAACTTACATGGATAAACAGAAGAAGATTTGCTATGATGACTGTAGGAAGAGGGTGGAATCTGGGTCTAAAATGAGCTTGTAATGAGTGATGCGGGAGAAGCTGGGCATCCAGAAGTGGGTCCTCTTCAATACTCTGGATAATGTCCAAGGAACCCTGCAGTGCAAAAAAAAAAAAAAAAAAAAAATCAAATTATGGTCACTACTTTCTGGAGTATGTTTCCAAGACAAATCCACCCAACTATAATGCTTTTAAAACTATGATACAAGTTAGATGCAAAAGCACATACCCTTCCTAAAGTCAATTAAAAAAATACTTCTAGATAAGTACTATAAACAAGAAGTATTAAAATGTGTAGGGGAAATTTAATTTTTTTTTTAACTTTTTTTTTTTTTTTTTAACAGTACTGGGGATTGGACCCAGGGACGCTTTACCACTGAGCTACTTTCCTGGCTGTTTTAGTGAGCTTTTTTGCTACTATGATCTAAAGAACCTGACCAAAACAACTGTAGAGGAGGAAAAGTTTATTTAGGGCTCACAGTTTCAGAGGTCTTAGTCCACAGATGGCCAGCTCCCTTCCTCCTGGCTCGAGGTGAGGCAGAACATCATGGCAGAAGGAAAAGTGTGGCAAAGGGAAGCAGCTCATTGGGCAATCAGGAAGCAGAGACTCCCCTCTCCAGATACAAAATACATAGCCACGCCCCCAATGAACTGCTTCCTACTGCCACACCCCACCTCCTCCAGTAACCACCCAGTTAATCCCACCAGGGATTAATTAACTGATTAGGTTAAGGCTATTACCCAATCATTTCTCCTCCAAATCTTCTTGCAATGTCTCACATGGGGGACACCTTACATCCAAACCATAACACTAGCCCATTAATTTTTTTTTTTTTAAATTTTGAGATGTGGTCTTTCTGAGTTGTTGAGGCTAGTCTCAAACTTGTAATCCTCCTGCCTCAGTTTCCCAAATATTGGGATGACAGGAGGGTGCCACACCTGGTGGGCACAGAAAGTCTTTTAAATTTTTTTTTGTATTGGTGATTGAACCCAGGAGTGCTACCTCTGAACTTCATCACCAGCCCTTTTCATTTTAAGACACAGTTTCGCTAAGTTGTTTAAGACCTCACTAAGTAGCTGAGGCTGGCCTTGAACTTGCAATTCTTCTGCCTTAGCCTCCTAAGCAGCTGGAATTACAGGCATGCGCCACCATGCCCAGCCAGATATCTTAACTCAGTTTTTTCTACAATTCACAAAGTAATTTACATAATGAGATTTAAATAAACCACTTCTTCACACTCTCAAAACTGATTAACTTTATTTATTTATTTGGTAGTAGGTGGGGATTGAATCCAAGGAAGCTTTACCACTGAGCTACTTGCCCTGCCCTTTTTTACTTTTTATTTCAAGACAGGGCTTTGCTAAATTACCCAGGCTGGCCTTGAATTTGCAATCCTCTTGCTTTAGCCTTTGGAGTGACTGGGATTACAGGTGTGCACCACATGCCCCGCTAGATAGCCTTTTGTTTTCTTGTGGCAAAAGCAGCTGAATTTATTCATCTCAAATACAATTTTATTCCCTGCAGTCTTCATGTTGTGCTTCACATTTCTAGACTTCTCATCCTATATATTTGCTAACTTCCTCCGACTTACATCTCCCCACTTTCAACCCACCATGGTGGCTTTTTTTTTTCTTTTTTGAGTACTGAAGATTGAACCGAGTCACTCTATCACTGAGCTACATCCCAAGCCCTTTTTATTTTGAGACAGGGTTTTGCTAAATTGCTGAGGCGACCTCAAACTTTCAATCCTCCTGCCTGAGTCTCCTGAGTCACTGGGATTATGAGCATGGGTGCTACCACACCTGGCTATGATAGCAATTCTTTTAAAGCATCTCTCCGGTATTCCATAAAACTTTGAAAAGCTGATGGAGACTTATAAGAATGCTTAAAACAGGGCGGGGTGTAGCTTAGTGGTAGAGAGCTTTCCTAGTATGTGTGAGGCCCTGGGTCCCATCCTTAGCAACACACACGCCTAAAAAATAAACTTTCAGTCTTGTTAAGAATATTAACGAGTACCAATGGAGGCAGATCATCCTGATGGACCTTCAAGGAGTCTTCAGTTTGTAGAAACTATATTTTCAATAAAAACAACTAGCTTTTTTAAAAAATATATTTTTAGTTGTAGATGGACATAACTTTATTTTATTTCTTTATTTTTTATGTGATGCTGAGATTGAACCCAGTTCCTGACACGTGCTAGGCAAGTAGTGAGCCACAACCCCAGCCCAAAAACAACTAGTTGTTTTTTTTTTTCTTTTTTTGAGATGGGGGTCTCTCTGTGTTTTGCCCAGGCTGTTCTTGAACTCCTAGATTCAAGGATGTTGTTGCCTGAGCCTGACAAACTCTGGCACTAAGGACATGAGCTTGGAGGCCTAGCTTGAAAACAGCTAGTTCTAATGTCACTGAAGCAGCTGACAAAGATTGAGTTCCTGTGGGATGTAAAATTTTCAGTTAGTCATGTTTAAAGGTACTGTCCTGACAGGTACAGTACTTCCATGTCTCTCTTGCATACAAATGAGCCATAACAACCTCTCAAACTCAGGCCCTTACTGAAAATTGTAATTTATAGGTGCTGTGCCTGAGGTAAAAACATAGAAGATTACATTTTCACTGGGGTTTCAGATAAAGACATGATAAACTAGACAAGACAAGGACATGTAATGGAATATATTGCATGGAACCTACAGGGAAGCAGTTAATAAACAGGCAAATGAAAAAAGAGATGTTGCAACAGGGTTAGATCAGGTAATTGCATTAGAATGAGATGGAAATGAATTTTAGTGGGCAAGAGAGGAGCCTGAAAACAGAATCCAGACACAGAATAAGGGACAAAGAGTGGAAGGGAGAGCTGTTGGGCATTAAGATGACAAAGATGAATAACCAATCTGAAGCACTACCCAGATCTGGGGTGGGCTCCCCAGTTTCCAGTCTCAGGCATCCAATGCTGCCCTGCAAATCTTCCTACTCTACGCCTACACAGCTTCCCGCTTTGGTACAATTCTGATTATTTCCCTTCTCCTTGTGACCCTTCTGCTTGGAATTTTCAAGTCGTCAATAATAGAGTCATGAAAGCTCTTAGCTAATGTCTGAGCATCCTTCCTTGACCAGATGGGGCAATTCCCACCAGGGAGCCTTCCTGAGTACCCCAAATCTGGATCACCCCAGCCCTCTATGTCTTCTAAAACATTCTGTGCTTGCCTGTATCACACTATTCAATAACAATCTTTGTATTTATTTGTCTTCCTCATTAGGACCCACTAACTTCCCACCTCTAATTTGTCTTGCAGAATGCTAGTATCCAACAGTATCTCATGGCCCCACTCTGCAAACATTTGACGGATGGATGAATGTCCCAAACCTTGTCTCCATCTCAGCTATGTGTATCACCAGACTTCTCTGCTCATCAGAAGAGATCATTTGGGCAAGGGACAGAGAATCAACTCTGACCCAAACTACTTTTCAGGATTTGCTTATTGCCATCTCTCCCTCCTGATGCTCACTACTGATTGTTCCCATCTCCCATGAAATGTTTTCAATCTCTATACTGTCTCTACTTGTTCTTCCCCATCTGTCAAACACTTGTCACAGCAAATGCTGCATTCTCTGTGACACTTACCCTGCTTCTTCATCTAACATTGCAGTTTTCACCTCTACAAGTTCAAACTGGGTCTACTTTATACCTTCTTTATTTCTGCATCAGCTTTTGAACATACAGAAAACAGTTACATGTTGTCTTTGCTATCTGTCTCTGTGTTGTTTCTGAATCAGTTTCAAATGACCCACTATAGGTCATATTTTCCTGTCTTAGGCAAGCCTTCTATTATTATCTATTGTTTCCACTTATGTACTATCTCTTCCCTCCTCTTTTGTGACAGTGACTATTTCCTTTGGCAACCCACTGACATTTCTGCATTGTAGGGGTATCCTTCATACATTTCCTTTACTCTCCTCAGGCCTAAGGAGGATGGTTAGGCCAATTCACTCTGTGCACAGGAAAGGAAAGGCAGACCACTGCTGTGGTAGATTCATTCCAGAGTAGACCCGGAAAGGACTTCACTTAGTTCTTAGATCCTTTGAGCTGCTCTTATTTGAGTCCTTTCAGAGACCCTGGTGTTCATGCACTCTGTATCCTTTCAAATAAATCCTTGTCCTTGTAAATTAGCCATTAGTTTACTGCAAACAATGAATCCTAACTAACACACAGTCTGACTCTTTAAGACATTCAAGTTTCTGGCCCATAATTTTTAGCTATTTACAGAACACTAGAAATTATACATTAGATGTACCAAAAGCAGCAACTTACTCAGATCTACAGTAATTTTGCTATACATTGTTGGTGAAACATTGCTCTTCAATTTGTCCAGTGAAAGTTTTCTATGATTGTACTACTAAGACTTAAAGACACAGATCTAAGAATTCTGGGGGCAGCTAAGCACCAACTAATAAACACTGCATGTGCTTTTTTCTAAGTCTCATTTTCCTTTTAGATATTCCCATATATTATCAACTCAAGAATGTCACCCTTAAAAATTCAGAAACAGGGCTGGGGATGTGGCTCAAGCGGTAATGCGCTGGCCTGGCATGCGCGGGGCGCTGGGTTCGATCCTCAGCACCACATAAAATAAAATAAAGATGCTGTGTCCACCGAAAACTGAAAAATAAATATTTAAAAAATTCTCTCTCTTAAAAAAAAAAATCAAAAACAAAGGATTTACTTTATATATGAGTGTCAAATATACTTCCAGGTGTTAGTTAATTTTTCATTTTCTCAATTAAAAAAATTAAAAATTTTTAGTTTATGATTAGAATTGCTATTTATTTCATCAGAATTATTTAACTAATCACCAGGCTCTTATAGTGCTGGGACATTGCTTTTCCTGATGCACTCATTCAGGATTAAAATCACAGTAATATTGCTATTAGTTTATTAACAGCAACTTGGGAGTGTGTGGCAATTTCAGCAATTTAGCCAGGCCCTAACTTAGAGAGACCCTGTCCTCTCCCAAAAGAGGGGAAAGAAAAAAAAAAGTGCCAATGGGCAACTAACTTAATTTTGGGCAATACACGTTTCCTTTAAAATTGTACACTGGGTGCGGTGGGACACACCTGTAATTCCAAGGACTCAACAGGAGGACTGCAAATTCGAGGCTAGCCTCAGCAAATTAGCGAGGGCCTAAGCAACTTAGTGAGACCCTATCTCAAAAATAAAACAAAAATAAAAAGGGGTGGGGAGAGAGCTTACAGGTAAAGCGCCCCTGGCTGGGTTTAATCCCTAGTACCAAATAAATAAATAAATAAATAAATAAATAAATAAATAAAATTGTCTTAATAAACTTAAAGGTACAAGATTTTTGCAATAATGGTAACATTCTGTACCGTACACACTGTAAACTGGGGTACTGGATAATCTAGTTCGGATCTAAAATTTTAAAATCTTTCTATTTCTACAACGCCTAAGTTCAAAACAGCACATGACACTGTTTTTCTCCAATGGGGGTTTCCGGGAGGTGACAGCGACAGGTCTGCCCGCGGGACGCTGGCGTCCAGCGGCAGCACTGCTGTTACTCCAGGGCCAAGGACCTCCGGTGCCCACCCTGGAGAGCCCACAAGGAAGATTCGCCCCCTGTGCCCCTGGACGTTCAAGTCGAGCGCAGCGGGACCGTCTCCGGGAGGAAGGCTGTCAGGCCAGACGCGCATCACGTGAAGCTCCTAGTTCCGGGGCCAACGACGGGCGCCACACGTGGGCTGGAGTCGGCCTGGGACCCCCCCACCCGCACGCCCATCCTGCAGGACCCCACCCCGACTTCCACCCGGGGAAAACAGGCCCGGGGCCGGCGTGTCGCGGACGCCACAGCGTACCCGCGCCTTCTCCCCTAACCCCGCGCCCCGGGCAGGCCGTGCGCAGGCGGCGCCCCCTCCGGCCGCGGTCTTGCTGAGGCTTCCCCAGCCCCGACAGTCTCCGCCCTGTGCACCCCAGTACAGGAAGGAGATTCCGGGGACAGTCGCCCAACACCTCCGTGCACTCACGTCTTCTATTCTGACCCCCGCCGCCATTTCCCAACGCCGGAGGCCAAAGCCCCCTCCAGCCTGACCTCTCCACCTGCGCCAAGGCGCCACAGGCCCAGGAAAGTCGCCACCTTCTGGGACCTGCGGCCCCCGCCCCGGACACACCCACTCCGTGTTCGCCCCGCCCGCGCGGTCCCTGGCCCCGCCTCCTCACTGCCGATTGGCCGAGGCGGAGGGAGGGGCGTGCCGCGCCCTGGAGTCCCGGCCAGTGGGCCGCTGCTACCTCCGGGACCTACCAGTTTCTAGAGATTCGAGCAATGGCCTCTCCATCCGCTGTTGGCCAGAGGCTTGGGCATTAAAGAATGTGTTTCTAGTCCAAAATTGAAGTATTCTAGGCCTCCACTTTCCTCTTTAAGACATTTTAAGACTTTTTCCTGTCTTGTGTAGTATTTGTTTGCAGGCACAGCTCTGTGCTTAGGTAGAACCAGTGGCAAAATCCTGCTCTACCAGTAGATGGGACAGGAAAAAAAGAACCAAAAAAAGGCTTTCAATTTCCATTATCAGATTTTTCCAATGAGAAAGGAAACAGTTCGGATGGGGGACGGGAGACACTGGGGACTAAACCCAGGGGCACTCTACCACTGAGCTATGTCCTCAACCCTTTTTAAAAGTCACTATTATTTTATTTTTGTTAGCTTTGTACAGTTGGGCAGTATCGTAGCCAATGAGGTTTATTTTATTTATTTTTATTTTTGAGACAGGGTCTCTAAATTGCCATGAGTTTGAGATCCTCCAGCCTCAGATTTCTGCGTAGCTGGGATTACAGGTGTGTTCTACTGCAGCTGCCGGCAATGTTGAATTTTTAGCACTTTTTAAATGGAATTTTAGAAACTTTAATGAAATTTTCTGAAAATACATAATTGCAAAAATAGGTGAGATTTTATGGTAATACAAGCTCACAGAGAAAAACTTGATCCCAGAGCATGTACATCTTTATACTTTTAAATGTTTATTTGTACACTGAGTATATTATGATCTTTGCTAATGGTGTTGGTGAAACACTCAAGTGTCAGCAAAGAGAAAGATTGTGTAAGACTATGTGATGTAAAAATCTCATAATCCTGAGAGTCTATGAATTATTTCTCAAGCGCCCTTTCTAGACATACATTCCCCCTCAACATTCCATTTTGAAATTGTCACGCCTACAGAAATGTTGAAAGACTATTACAACAAAATCCGTGTATCTCTCACATTGATTCATTAGTTGTTAATTTTATGCCACAATTGAACTGTGAGTGTGTGCTTATACAATTTTTTCCCCCCCAGACTTGTGGTCTCCCTATGCTGCCCAGGCTGGTCTTGAGCTCCTGGACTCAAGGAATCCTTCTGCCTCAGTCTCCTGAGTAATTGGGACTATAGATGTGTGACTACAGGCATGGGCCACCCCTTGGGCCTTGCCACCTTTTGTTTATTTTTCACCAACCAGGGTCTAATCAAGGTTCACACGTGGCATTTAGTTGTTATGTCATGACATGCATTTTAATAGCTACAGTACAGAGATTAACAACAATATCCTAAAATTAGTCATGAAAGTTTGAATTCTGTATCTTACTAAACATGTGATATTAGGCACTTTATTTACATTCTCTAGGACTCAGTTTCCTCATCTGTAAAAATGGAAATCTCCCATTTCAGAGAGATGTGTGTGTGTGTGTTTTACAAAGGGTTAAACTCAGGGGCATTTAACCACTGAACAACATCTCCAGCCCTTTTTTATATTTTATTTAGAGGCAGGGTCTCACTAAGTTGCTAAATTACTGAGATTGGCTTTGAACTTGCAATCGTCCTGCCTCAGCCTCCTGAGCCACTGGGATTACAGGTATCCACCACTGTACCCAGCCAGAGAGATTTTTGATTAAAGAATATACTGCATGTAATGTTCTTCATTCATAGTCATTGTTTTAATAATATAATCAATCATGTATTATTCAAATAGCTCAGTGAATTGTTTTGGAGGTAGACATTTTTCAAAATAAAGAAAGTTTGGCTGGGCGCAGATGTAATCCCAGGAGAGGCAGGAGAATCTCAAGTTCTAAGCCAGCCTGGGCAATTTAGCAAGACCCTGTCTCAAAAACATTTTTTAAAAAGGGCTGAGAGGGGGTTGTAGCTCAGAGGTAGAGTGCCCCTGGGTTTAATGCCCAGTACCACAAAAATAAATAAAGTTTGGGGGCAGGGAAAGATAATGGTCTATTTGGTAAGTTAAAGGGTGTGCTTACACTTTTGAATAGGAATAACCTGTGATTACCCAGTATAAATCAGAAGGGACAGTGGATTTTGGAAATAGAATCCTGAAGTTTGCAATATTTTATGATGGGGAGTTGGTGGGGAGGAGTGAGGTGGTCTTCAGCAGGAAACTCGGACCTCCAAGAAACAGGATGAGTGGGAGAAAAGGATGCTGTCTGGAAATCAAGGGTGCTCCTATAAAACGAAGAGGGGGAACATGATCCATCTTATCATTTGTTTGGGACTGCCATGAAAGAATAAGTGGTATAAAAAAAAGAATAGGTGCAATTCCATATTTACTATGTCAAGGTCAAAAGTTAGAAGGGAAACAATGTTACTAAAAGTCATTGGGACTAATTCTCAGGGAATACAAGCAGAAGCAACAGGATAGGGGCTGTAGAGGTAGCTCCCTGATAAAGCTTGTGCTTAAGCATTAAACAAACAAACACAAACACCACAACAGGTCATGTGCAAATACCCCTTCCCAAATGTATGGCCCTTCAGGCACAGGTGGTATATATAGGGAATTAAGATTTAGCCATCAACAGGTAATGTCATTACTAAAATCTCAGCCACATAATGCTTTAGTGATTGTTAAAACAATTTATTTTCTTATTTAATTAGTGGTGCTAGAGATCAAACCCAGGCCCTTGCACATGCTAAGCGCACATTCTACCACTAAGGTACGTTTCCAGCTCTGTTAAAGCAATTTTTTTTTTTAATATTTATTTTTCAGTTTTCGGCGGACACAACATCTTGGTTTGTATGTGGTGCTAAGGATCGAACCCAGGCCGAATGCACGCCAGGCGAGCGCGCTACCGCTTGAGCCACATTCCCAGCCCCTGTTAAAGCAATTTGTTTATTCATTTATTTATTTTTATTTGTTAAAGCAATTTAAATAAGCATATCCCTGTAAGGAAATTATATTTACCATAGTGTCAGTTACTTCATTTTTGCATGACTGAAGATCTTTTGGCGAAGATTCTTGCATTTGTTTATGAGGAGCAAAAAGAGAACTAGAGAACCTGTTTTGCTATCAGACGGTTCAGGATTAAACGTTTCGAATGTGAAATCCTGTCTATTCTTCAAGTGTTGTTACTGTCAGTACTGTACAAGGCACAGTGATTGGGCCTGATTAAAAATATTAAAAAATAGCTCATTAACTTTTCCCCACCAATGCTGGGAATTGAACCCAGCGCCTTGTACACTCTAGGCAAGCACTCTACAAATGAGTTAGATCTTCAGCTCAGGTCACTGATTTTTTTCCAACATCAAAATAAAATGTATCCTTAATTCAATGCAACTTCTGTTATTTAGCTTACTGTACCTACTATCAAATATCATGTTAATATAGGTGCTTAACTGATATTTATTATTAATTTTAAAGTAGAATCTGCTTAGCTCCAGATATTGATGTTAACAGGCCTTTTAAATTTATTTTCTTTTTTTTCTATTTTTCTGTCTGTGTGTGTGTGTGTGTGTGTGTGTGTGTGTGTGGTACTAGGGATTTAACCTAGGGGTGCTCTACCTTTAAGCTACATCCCCAGCCCTGGTTTGTTTTGTTGTTGTTTTTTAATTTTGAAATAGGGTCTTGCTAAATTGCTGAGGCTAGCCTCAAACTTGTGCTCCTCCTAACTCAGCCTCCTAACCAATTGAGATTACAGGCATGAGCCATTGCATCCCATTTGCTTGCATACTTATTTCTTGGTTTAACTTGCCTTTTAAGTCAAATTTTAGATTGCAGTGGGTAGAAGATGTACTTAGCATGTACAAGATGCTCAGTTTTATTCCCAGCATAAAAATGAATGAATGAATAAATAGATAAACAAATTAATAAATAAAAATTTAGAGTGAATAGGCCCTAGGTAGATTTTCCTACAGTTCTCCAAGCTTCCCTTTACCCCCTTCAATAACAAACACATTCTGGCTCTGGATAATGCTTTGTGGCTAAGTCTCTCAGAACACGCAGAGACTCCCCCCACCCCCAGTCTTGAAAATAGTTTTTCTATATAGAAACTTAATGATATTGAGAACAATTGGAAATAGTCCACAGTTTCCATTTATTTATTCCATAAAGGTTTGTGCCTTTCATAGCACTGTGTACCGTAAATAGAATTGAATTGTAATCAAATATTTCAAGTTTGCATGACAAAGGACTCTTGTTAATGGTTCTTGGGACCTAAAATTTCAGGCTTTATCCAGTCCTTCCTTCCTCATTAGTGACTTGTGTTCTCCTAAAGTTCATGTGATCTCAAATCCTGACATTTACAAATGCATTTGTTTTCGAAGGCAATTTTTATTTTTCTTCACTGACTAATTTGGGAGTGAAAGTACAAATTTGCTAATTTTTAAAAATAATTTATCTTCAGAGAAATATCAAATATGTGAAGTATCAGGCCCAAACAAAATGTTCTTTAAAAATTTCAGGAAAAAAACAGAAACTCAAGATGAAAATCAAAGTTGTGACCTTCATGAAAATCAAACCTATTGTTTAGTAATTACAAGAGCTGTGTTGTTCGGTTCTCCATCACTGTGTCAAAACACCTAAGAAAATCAATGTAAAAGGGAGGAAAAGTTTATTTTGGTTCACTTTTTCAGAGGTTTCAGTCTATGGTAAGTTGGGTTTTGTTGTTTCTGGGCCTGTGGTAAGGCAGAGCATCATGGCAGAAGGGCATGGTAAAGGAAAGCCACTCCCTCATGGCAGCCAGGAAGGGGCAGGGAGAGGAGCCAGGGTCCCCAGTGACCCAGGCCCTGCCTCCTAAAGTCTCTCCCACTCCCAGTAGTGCCACCAGCTAGAAACCAAGTCTTTAACACATGAGAATTTGAAAGACATTTCCAGATTCAAACTTAGACAAAGTCTGA